TAATGTGACATTTATTGTATATATGCATGTATGTTGTTAACTCCTTTGATTTATTTTATGTATAACAATATAAAAATATCTTTATAAATAAAACCAATCAGTAAGTTATCACTTCAGTACAGATCACATTACCCAATATTGCATGATGTCTCTCGGCACACACCAGTAATTATTGTAGCATATAGTTCTTGAGTACAGGTGAGGGATATTTGTATGGGCATGTGTTTTTGCACTGCCAAGAATGTGAGCTGTTACTCATTTCTTTTACAGTTATAAAGTATTGTGTAAGCTTCTACATTACACTTCCATCAGAATTTTGTCATGTGTTTGGTCAGCACTGGCACATGTAAACATTTATGGCTGTTTACTGTTCAGACTGTTCAGGAAATCATTTATTATTAATTTAGTTTAGTCATGTAACATCAGTTAGTCTCCAGGCAACTTTCAACAAAATTTACAGCATGCAAAAAAATAAAATAATCTATTTAAAAACAATCATAACACAGTACAACCTCTTAGGATAGGAAAGGAAACCCCAGGCATATTAATATTAGAGATTTTCCTAGGTCCAATTAAAAAATTACGAAATAGTCAGCAAGCGTTGTAAGACTATATTCTTCAGGCTTAGATGTTAAAACAAAAATAGCACAAAAATAGAGGGAGTTGAGGGCATGGCAGAAGAGTCCCATTGTGGGCTATGGTGCCATGGTGTAGTTTCAAAAATGTTAAAAATTGTAATTTTAGAATTAAAGGAGAAATCTCTTTCATGACTCAAAATGTTGCATGGATGGGATGAGTCATGTTATGGGTAATGTGGGAGGTGGGGGGGCATTGTTACAAGTTTCTGCTTAGACCCCCCCCCAAACGAATGCTTTGGCACTGATTGGACCAGTCAGCTGGAGGAAACTGAGCTTCTGCTTGATGCAACAGCAGACCTAAATTTACCTACCTGGGAGTAAGCTCCATTGAATTCTATAGATTTTTTGAGCAGATGTGGTTGGGATTGCACTGTAAGCGGCTACCTCAGCTGTTGGGTGGAAGCTGTAAAGCGATAATCTAATGCAATGACTAGTAAAACGTTATTTGTCTGTTATTATTATTTCCCTTAGACATTTGAAGGACCACACAGCATGGAAGAAACATGTACATACCACGCAGGTGTCCCTATATTCCATGAAGGGTTAGTAGTATGTGTCTTCCTCGAATTCTGTTAACCATCTGCTAGCTAGGCACAATGAAACTTGAGATTAGTTTTGTTGCAGTTGTTTATATGAGTCTTTAAATCTTAATGCACAGGATGAAATACTGGAGTTGCTGCAAGAGGAAAACATCAGACTTCAATACTTTCTTGTCTCAAGAGGGTTGTGCGACAGGAATACATGCATGGATTAAGAAGGATGCTGTAAGTAGCAAGGGCTGTGTTATTAATAGCTTACTATTCTTACCTGTGTTGCTAAACATTAATACACCTGCTTGGGTAGGCTGACTTGTCTATGAAACTTTGAATATTTCTTTTTCCATCATTGGTCAATCAACTTGTACTTTACAACAACGACTTGAATGCAGTGAGATGACAATATTGGACTTTGCGGAATAAAACAGAGGGCACCAAGTTTAGTGGAGCAACTAACCAGATAGAACCATAACATAGAAGTTATGCCTCAATTTATTAAAGATCTCTTCAGAAACGTGGTTCTGTCGGTTTCTCTGTTTTTGTTTTCTTTTACGTAGGCTATATACTGTACAATGATGACAAATGCTGAAACATTGACTCGCTTTCCATCCTGTTAAAGTGAGCTTCTGGCTTCAGCCATAGAACATTGGGGGGGGGTGTGTGTGCAATAAAAATGACATTGAAAGGATTGTAAAGAATCGGTATGGAAAGAGTCTTAGGCTATGCCTCCATAGAGCCCAGTGTACTTTGGAAAAAGATAAGTAGCAAGGAAAGTATTTGCAAATGGGTTGAAACCATGATTTGTGTCTTTAACTCTTAATCGCCTACAGGAGAAAAAAGTGGTTCCATGCAGGCACGATTGGCATCAAACTGGAGGTGAAGTGACAATTTCTATTTATGCCAAGAATTCCATTCCTGAACTTAGTCACGTAGAAGCAAATAGCACGGTGGTGAGTTACCCTAATTGGCCTGTATTGTTCCCGTTTTAACTCCAAGTTCAAATTGATTGTTTAGTGTGGCAGCACCTGCATTTGGAAACTTCACTGTACTTTTCTCGGCGCCTGCTAAAAACATTCCTGTTTAGACAAGCCTACTCAGTTGCCTAGAAAGTTTAGTTACAGATAGGTAGCCGTGTTGGTCTGCCATAGTCAAAACAAAAAAAATTCCTTCCAGTAGCACCTTAAAGACCAACTAAGTTAGTTCTTGGTATAAGAAGTGTGCATGCACATGAAAGCTCATACCAAGAACTAACTTAGTTGGTCTTTAAGGTGCTAATGGAAGGAATTTTTTTGTTTAGAAAGTTTAGGTAATTTTAACCTGTTTTAGCATTTTACAACTTGGATGTTTTAAAGCAGGGTTGTAAATATTTCTTGATTTTACTGTTTTTTCTTTCTTTTTCACAATCAAGCAATGTATAAATTTTATGGAATGAGTGAGTGAATGAATGAATGAAAACTTTCTGCTTTCTAGCATCGCAAGCTGAAATAAATACTGCGTGTTTAGCTACTACTGCTACTGCACAAACGTTTCCTTCTCTTCCAGTTAAATATCCATATCGTCTTCGAAGGTGATAAGGAATTTAATCAGAATCTGAATCTATGGGGTGTAAGTACATACATATTTGCATTCAAGTAAACTTCAGGCAGGTTCAAAATCACAGTCAGGCGCTTGTAGCAGGATTAAGTGACAAGATTAAGTACTACAAGATATGTATATCTTGCATTTGTCCTGCTCAGAGTACATCCATTGAAATTAATGGACATGACTAACTTCTGAGTATAACTTAGTTGGATAAGTAGATGCTAACTACAGAATACCTCTCATTCAATATTCTACTAATCTCAATGCAATTGAAGATACAAATCATAAAATCTACACTTTCCTTGTTCCTTTTGTATTCTGATTTACTGCAAACCTGAGGCATTTAAAATAGTCCACTTTTGTGTAAAAATAAATAAAAATCCTGGCATTGTGATGAGTAATATTAAAGCTGTTCCTGCTCCTCAGTCTTGCTGTAGTTCTATGCTTAGTTTCCTGAACATAACTTTCTGCTTTTCAGCTTTGACAGAATTAGTAAGTATCTGGTTTAGAGCAAAATGCTCTTAAGTAAATGCCAGCCCTTAAACAATTCACTCTTTCCTCGATAGCAGCATAATCTGTGCGCAAAACAGTCAGGGCTGTGTGTTCAACATAGGAGGCAACTTGTATCTTGGAACATGTGTCAACGGGGAAGCACTTATTTGTGTATCTGTATTCATTAGACCTTACACTTAGACTGACTTTTCTAGTCCTACATTACACAGGGCATTGTTTAAATTTTCTCTTACCAATAGTTACATTATTTTTTCTTGGTTTTGCTTCTTTGTTTTTTAAAAGCAGTTACTTTATAACAGCGAGTTGAATAAACTCAATTCTGTAGTGTTAATCAGGCGTGCAGTTAAGTAGCAAACTGAAATGTACATGTCTTCTTCCAGGTGATTGATGTGAAAAGGAGTTACGTAAATATGACGGCTACAAAGATTGAGCTCACAATGAGGAAAGCTGAGCCCATGCTATGGGCAGGCTTGGAACTCCCAGTATCCAAAGTAAAACCAAAAGAGCAGCAAGAAATTGCGGCGCAAGCTTGAAATCTGAGAAGAGGCCAGTTTTTGCCCCTGGTGAAGTGGTGACTTTGCTGTTTTAATGTAACTTAATGTTCTGCATAATCACAAAAAAAGTTGCATTCCAGATTGGGTGTAGTTCTAGGCTTTTCAGTAGCACAATGTTTGTTTTGTTTGTTGTACTGGATCTTCCCCAGACGGTTAAGGCTGGTGCTTATGGAAGTGTTGTGGGTGTGAGCAGCAGCAGTTGGAACCAATAGCCACAGGCACCCGAGGAAGATGCCCTTTGCCACCTTCTCAGCACTGCCGTTGCTCGCTGGTTCTCTCCCCCTGACAAGTCTCTGTTTTTAACACCAGAAAAGGGCTGAGGAAGTTGTTTGTTTATTCCTCCCTATTGTAGGGCAGTGTTTTATTTGCTTAAGGCTGTGTTCTATTGTGAGTACTCTGTCAGGGGTGCTTACTGGCAGTGCGTAGGGCCAGGCTCAGCGTTCACGACCTAATACAGCTGTCAGTTTTGGCAGCTGCTGCAGCAATCAACCCTGGACCACGACTTTTATTTTTAGAATTCCAAAGCTGTACGTGCATCCTGGTTCAGCATCGACATACGTTCATATTGTGGTCCACACTGTGTTAAGATTTCCTCAGTGCTTGAAATGTTACTCAGCCAAGTCACCACTTCAGCAGCCTGTGCTTTTTAATTGTTTTGCCTTGAAAAGAATTGATTCTGTGTAATAATGCAACTACTCGCTTTAAATTATAGCATGAGGATTAAAAAGATATATATATACAACAGTGGTTAAGTTAAATAAGTTTTTCCATATTGCGGCCGTGAATTTCATTTGTATAGGGAAACTGGAAAAAGTAGGTGTCTGGAACACCTAAAAAAAAAAAAATCAAGGTTCTTTTTTTAAAAAACAAAAACCAACTTCTTTTCCTAGTGTTTTTCCCCCTGCATGGATGTGTGTTTAATTTTTGTTGATGAAGAACATTTGTTAAAGGTCTCATCCCTTCAGGCCTTTTTATAAATTTATGGAATAAACAGTTAACCTGGAGCTGGTTTCATTCAGTTTCTGATTTCTACTGTGTGAGCAGAATGAGTGTTTGAACAAGTTTTGGTTATGTATTAGGAGTTCAATTAAACAAATTCAGTAAATATTTCTTTTGGTTTAACATCCTGCCTTCTGTTCTGCTTACCCCAGTCAGAAAACATTCCTTGCACAACTTAATGGCTTTCTTTATGGTGGTAAAACGATGTAGAAGGTACACTGATATTTTTTATTTTAAGAGCGGTTACACATAGTGCTTCTTTAAATGGGTAACTGTAGTCACAACCACACTGAACATTTAATAGAATTTTAATGTCATTTCACTCTTCATTTTTGTTCTACATCCAGGTGCTTCTTCTACTCAGCTTTGAAGGGAAACCCTCCTTCCAATAGCATCTGAGTTATGATTGTTGAGTATTTATTCTGCGGTAGCCCAGCTGCAGTCTTGTGTGTTTCATGCAAACCATATATCACTGCTGTAGTATAGAGGTGGAAACTGCAAACAGCCAGGGAAGGAGGAGTGGAATTAGATGAACTAGTGAGTAGCGTCAAATGAATGCAAGGTGAAATGGATTCAGCTGGGCTTCTGAGTGAAATACTGTTCCAGGCAAGGTTAAGTGGTGGCTGGTGCTGAAAACATATAATTCTTCCACTGTGGCTATCAAAATCACTGGCAGCTGCACACTTTGCTGGAAATGTGCTCAGTCTTGGCCCATGCTGTAAACGAGAGCTTTAGAGCTGGCTTAGGACAGTTTAGAAATGGCATGTGAGTGAATGCTTAAAACTGCCAGAAGTAGCACTGTCTGATTAAAAAGTATTCTTGTTGTCGTCAGTCTGGGTTGGAAGTGTAGATGAGCAGCAAAGAAGATCTCTTGCTAAGTCCATTTTTTAATAATGTTTATCCCAACCCTTCTTCCAAGGTCCTGGGGGGTGGGGACAGTCTAACTTTCCATCCCCTCCAGTCAAACTTTCTGATGGGTCTTTCTGATCATGAGCACTGAACATGACAAGGGAAGTAGCCTCATGGTGCTGCTGTTTGAATATTATGTCTGTGTTGAGAAGAATCAGCTTTCTGGGCATGCAATGCAAATAGTTTTTCCTGCTGCTCCCAACTATCCTACAACGCAGTTTTCAGTGTTCCTGCAGCAGCCTGAACCGCGAAAGTTGCAACAGAGATTTGCCTCTTGACTTCTTCCCAAGCTTTGCGTTGATCTGTCCTGCTGTCGATATCGAACATGGCATCATAGATTCCAGGGAAAGACACACCTGCATACTTGTTGCGGCTGCTTGGAGCAAAGATGATGTGTCTGTGGGGCAAGCGAACACATTTTTTTAAAAAATAAAGCAAGCAAACTCTGGCAGGAAGTTAGGCAACTGACTAAAAGTCAGTGTAGACCTATTAAAATTAATGGACCTAATTTGTTTCATTAAATTTAGTGGATCTACTCGAGTAAAACAGCTGACTACAACCCCACCCCCCACCCCAAAGTCTTAATTTCTGTTGCTGGACCTTTATAGGGTTCCCAGGGCCATTTTCTAAAGCAATAAAACATCGGAAGCTACAATTCAGGGAGAGCATTACACTAAAGAAGCACAAGTGTGAGCATTTTAGAAGCCTGAAATAATTAAAATACATCTTTCCTGACACAAATGATAATGACATGGCTGCTGTATGAACTTTCTTGGGGATGAACTGCACAAACAAGGGCACAACAATTGAGAATACTCCCTCTCCTCTTACAGTATTGCCTCCCCTTCCTGGAAAGGACCACTGCTGATGACCTTAATGTATAGCCCAGTAAATGCAGCAAACCTGTCGGGCATTTGGGCCCAAAGCCATATAGGGTTTTGTGAGTTGAGTAAGCAGCACCTGGCTTAGAAATTGTGGAAGACATTACTGGCAAGATAGGTTGGCAAAGACCTGTCCCAATGCTAGGTGTTTAGTCGCCTGGGTTGTTTTAGTGCAGTAAGTGGTCAGTGAAGGTGCCCATCGCTCACATGAGGGGTCAACATCACTCGGACTATGCAAAAGCATTTAATTTTTGGTTTGGAATAATCTGCAGGGGCAGGAATGCATATTCCCAACTCCCTACTTTCCACCCTGGGATCCTTTGATAAAGAGTGGTATAATAGTAATAATAATAATAATAATAATAATAATTGCTGTCTCTGGAATGGGTGCTTCCTCTTTTTCCTTGCTGGCATTAATTATGGTTCCACATCCATCTGCTCAACTGTTATCACAGAAAACATTGCTTTTAGAAGCTACCCAACTTGTCCTCCTATTGGGGTAACTATGGGCATTGAGTGTGTGGGGAAATGGGTACCTTCACTCAAGGTTTCCCAGACCACTGGTGGTCCGTGAGCTTCATTCAGGTGGTCTGCTGCATAACTGTATTAAATATACATGCTGGTTTTTTATAGCACTTTTATCGCTTCTTTCCTTACATTGCTTTTTATTGTACTGCAATTTTGAGTTCCGTGGAATTCAGGTTGTAATACAATGAAATACAGCATCGTTGAAATAAAAGAAGCAACAAAAAATAAAATCTAAAAATCATGAAGTGTCTTTCCCGGAACATTACAATTGCTACAAAAGGCAGAAAAAACTATTAAGTCCCTACCCTCCCTCCAAGGCCATTAGCAAATTTTGAGTGCTCTGTTGGGTGTCAGAGGTGGGGAACCACAGCTCTAGTCCATTTGTCTGAGAGAGCGGGGAAACAGGTCTACTGCCCTATGCCCTGCAAACAACCCCTCTCTGTTATGATGGCTTACCTGTAAAACCGCCTGCCTGGCAACCCAAGGGAATCGATGAACGCTCTCTCCAGAAGCATCAGCTGATCATTCGCCATCCGCACTGCAATGGGGCTGTAAAGTGAGAGACATCATAAGAACATAGGAAAGCCCTGTTGGATCACACCAATGACCATTTCTTCCAATGGTCAAGCATTCCTCTGTGAAAGCCCACAGCAAGAGGACAATAACCCAGCAATGGGTCTTCAGAAGTACACAGCCTGGAGGTAGAAGACAAATATTATGCCCATTACTGTCTCCAGGCTATATGCTACCTCCAATGCTAGCCTTATCCTCGATGAGTTTGTCCAGTCCTTTCTTAGATCTGTAAGTTTGTATGACATCAGATGGTTCTGGGCACATGGAAGGCGCTTTAGCCTAATGTTCTGCTTTCCATAGGCTCTCTCCTAAAGTGTGTGATACTACATTCCAACCAGCTTGGAGTTAATGTATTTTTAGCAATCATGTTGCTTAGAAGATCCAGGCTGTTTTGCCTTTCCTTGCTTTTTCATTCACCCACTCAGCTGCTCACCTGCCTTCCATCTGCTGTCAACAGAGCCTGTGACATACAGAAGCGGTCTCTGTGCCTTTGTTTCCATATATAAATTTATCGAGCCTCACTACTGTTGAAGCAATGATTCTTCAACATCAGCTTCGTTGGACTGGTCATTTTGTTCGGATGCCTGATTATCGTCTTCTAAAGCAACTACTCTATTCCGAACTTAAAAATGGAAAGCGTAATGCTGGTGGTCAACAAAAGAGGTTTAAAGACTGTCTCAAGGCAAATCTAAAAAAAAAAAAAATGTAGTGTAAACACTGACGACTGGGAAACACTGGCCTGCGAGCGCTCCAATTGGAGAACAGCCTTTACCAAAGGTGTCATGGGCTTTGAAGACACTCGAACTCAGGACATAAGGGAGAAATGTGCTAAGAGGAAGGCACGCTTGGCAAATCCACAACATGATCAACTCCCGCCCGGAAAGCAATGTCCCCACTGTGGAAGGACTTGTGGTTCCAGAATTGGCCTCCACAGTCACCTACAGACTCATTGTTAAAACCGTGTTTATGGAAGGCAATCTTACTCAGCTATGAGTGATCACCAAAGAAGAGGAGAAGAAGAAGAATACGAGTGATGGTAGCTGCACCTGCAGCTTTACTTAAGTTGCATAAAGGCATTCTCATTTCAGCAACAGTGTAGGAATCTTGGGTCCGATGAAAATGCAATGCTGGTTCCAAGCAAACTGTGGTTTGCAAATCAGGGATATGGACTTAAGTTTGCCAGGCTCTTTATTAACCCCAAACCATTTATTTTTATTTTCTAGTTGCTTATTGCTTTTAAATGTGCCTTGCGTTTGTCTTGTGACTCAACATTGATCTCCATCTCCGTTACATAAATTTCTTAAAAATAGAGTATTTGAAAAATGCTGAACAGCAGCGCATTCTGTCTGTTTATTTTTTTAAAAAAGAAAAACCAGTTTTGCAAACCCATACTCACTCGTTCTGATCAAGCTGTGATAATCTATGGTGAAAATCAGCAGCTGCCTCCGTGAAATTAGCCACAGCAGAAAAGAGAGGATCTGCAAATACAGAGTTGACAAGTCAATTTCCTAATTTAGAAAAGAGTAAAGCTCACAGTTCAGTGTCAGGGGGTCCCAGGCTTAAATCCTGGTCACCTCCAGTTCCAAACAAACAGGAAGGTGGCCAATCAGATCTAGTTCAGTATTGACTATGCTGATGAGTGATGGTTTCAAATGGGTCATAGAGGACGGCGCTGTGGTTTAAACCACAGAGCCTCTTGGGCTTGCTGGTCAGCGGTTCGAAACCCCACAATGGAGTGAGCTCCCATTGCTCTGTCCCAGCTCTTGCCAACCTAGCAGTTCAAAAGCACACCGGTGCAAGTAGATAAATAGGTACCACTGCAGCGGGAAGGTAAACGGCATTTCCGTGCGCTCTGGCTTCCATCACGGTGTCCCATTGCACCAGAGGCGGTTTGGTCCTGCTGGCCACATGACCTGGAAAGCTGTCTGTGGACAAACACCGGCTCCCTCGGCCTGAAAGCAAGATGAGTGCCGCAACCCCATAGTTGCCTTTGACTGGACTTAACAGTCCAGGGGTCCTTTACCTTTTTACCATAGAGAATTGGGCTATCAGTGGGTACTATGTTCTATGTTCCATCTCCACTGAAAGAAGCATTATGCTTCTAAATGCTAGTTGCAGGGAAATCACAGGTGGACTCTCTTGCGCTCATGCCCAACTTTCAGGCTTCCCACAGGAATCTGTTCAGCCACTGTGAGAACAGGATTCTGGACTAGATGGGTCATAGGCCTGATCCAGCAGGCTTGTCTTACGTTCTTGTATTAAATCACGGGAGGGTAGGTAGTTTGTTGGCTGAGCCTTGGGGGGGAATCTTGGATAGTAAGAGCAGTTCTAAGGGACGCGGGTGGCGCTGTGGGTTAAACCACAGAACCTAGGGCTTGCCAATCGGAATGTCAGTGGTTCGAATCCCCGCGGCGGGGTGAGCTCCCGTTGCTCGGTCCCTGCTCCTGCCAACCTAGCAGTTCAAATGCACATCAAAGTGCAAGAAGATAAATAGGTACCGCTCTGGCCGGAAGGTAAACAGCGTTTCCGTGCGCTGCTCTGGTTTGCCAGAAGCGGCTAAGTCATGCTGGCCACATGACCTGGAAGCTGTACGCCGGCTCCCTTGGCCAATAAAGTGAGATGAGCGCAACAACCCCAGAGTCGGCCACGACTGGACCTCATGGTCAGGGGTCCCTTTACCTTTTTTAAGAGCAGTTCTAAAGCCGAACCAACTTTCAAATGGGGTAGTGGACTCTCCCAGACTTGGAGGTCTTCAAGCAGATGTTGGGCAACCATTTCTTGGAGATACTTTAACTCTGGCTTCCCTGCCAGATTCATGATTCCACACTATTCATTTAAAGCACATGGCTTCCACCCCCCCAAAAAACAACAATAATCCTGAGGACTGTAGCTTCCTTCTCACAGAGCTACAATTCCCAGAAGTATTATGATTATGATTATTATGATTATTATTATATTTCTTTATAGCCTTGCCCCTTCCCCTGACAGAGAGGCATGGTGGCTTACAAATAAAATAGGAACAACTAAAAACATTGGGGGAAATGCCATTAAAAAAAGAATGAAACATTAATAGAATTAAAGTGATTATTATAGATACACATATATAAACGTACAAATAACTACCATAAAAATAGCACAGCACCAGCCCTTTCATTAAAAGCAGTCAGTTTCCCAAAGTTTGTTGGAACAAGAAGGTCTTTGCCTGCTGGTGGGAGGACCACAAGGAGGGAGCCAGTCTGGCTCCTCCAGGGAAGGAGTTTCAGAGTTGTTTGGGAGCAACCACCGAGAAGGCCCTCTCCTGCACCAAGCGTCCCAGTGAGGGAGAGATCTTCTGAAGATCTCAGAACCCGGGCAAGTTCACAGGAGGGAATACGGTCTTTCAAATAACAAACTACAGCTCCCAGGATGCTCGGAGGGGGCTATGTGCTTTAAACATGTGGGTGTGACCCATATCTGTCGCTAACAGAGGCCCATAGCAACAGGAAGCACATCTGTACGGACTTTGTACCCCTTTTGCGTCAGGCTCACCAAACGATACTTGGTAGGTTCTCAGCTGCGCTTTGTGCCCCTTGGCTACATCGTAGATTCCGTCGGCGTAAGTCCTCAACGCTTCTGCATAATCTTGGCAACGGAGAGGAAGGACCTGGGAATCGGCCAGTTCGTAGACCAAGCCTGCCCGGAGGTGAGCAACGGCAAGCTGCTTCCTGAATTCGGGGTCGTAAAACCGCTCAACTAATTCAAAGGTCTCGTACGTGGTGTGGTAGAGAGGGTAGTTACTGAATTTGTCTACTTTCTGGAAAAGGAGAGCAAAGATATGGGTCAAATGTGCCTGAGCTGGATGCTTTAGTTGAGATTCCTGCATTGAAGGGGGTGACCGTCGGGGTTCCTTCAAACTACAGTTCTATGATAATAATAATAATAATAATAATAATAATAATAATAATAATAATAATAATAATTATTATTATTATTTATTATTTATACCCCGCCCATCTGGCTGAGTTTCCCCAGCCACTCTGGGCAGCTCCCAATCAGTGTTAAAAACAGTACAGCGTTACATATTAAAAACTTCCCTATGATTCCCTATGATTCTAATAAAGGTGGAAACTCAATTACAGTTGTACCTTGGTTCTCGAATGGCTTAGTTGCCGAACAAATCGGCTTCCGAACACCGTAAACCCGGAAGTAAGTGTTCTGGTTTGCGAACGTTTTTTGGAGCTGAACTTCTGACGCGGCTTCTGCCTGAGTGCAGGAAGCTCCTGCAGCCAATCGGAAGCTGCGCCTTGGTTTTTGAACAGTTTCAGGATTGGAACGGATTCCCGGAACGGATTAAGTTTGAGAACCAAGGTACCACTGTATTAAAGTTTCCCCACATCACAGGCCCAGTCCAACTTGGCTCACTGTCAGTTTGGTAAAGGCAAGATCAAGCACTAAGGGGCAAATTGGGCACAGGGATATAGGGAGCTGTTTTATACAGAGTCAGACCATTGGTCCATCTACCTCCATAATGTCTACACTGACTGTCAGCAGCACCCCAGTATTTCAAGCAGGGAGATGGAACCTAAGACGTTTTTCAAAAGCTCTGCCACTCAGCGGGGCTTATGATTTATCCCATGTAAGTGTGCAATGGACTGCTACTTTATTTTTTTACCTTTCTTTGCAGAAGACTGGATTGGTGCTTCCCTGTCCATTTTTCCCCCATTGGGAGCTTTCCCAAAAATAAAAAAGGAGACCCAACTGTTGTGATGTGATCACAGCTGTCCAGAAATAAACAGAAGGGTATCATCTTTCAGACAGGCTGTCCAGCTTACCCTATTCTTAGTGTACCGGGCTCTGCCGGACGCGATCCCCAGCCGCTGGAAGAAAGCTTCGAAATCGCTGCCTGATCCGAGCTTGCTGATCCTGCCCAGAGAGAGAGAGAGGAAAACGTTGCAATAGTTAGATCCAGTGCTTTTTTCTGGGGGGACGCAGGGGGACGCATACCCCTAAACATTTTGTGAATCTAAGTTTGGCCTTGAGGGTATTTCAATATGAGAAGGAAAATGAGAGTACCCCTAAACATGTTTTTTAAGAAAAAAAAGTACTAGTTATATCAGGCATCTTCACACTCGGCCCTCCAGCTGTTTTTGGACTACAACTTGTTTAGTCGTGTCTGACTCTTCGTGACCCCATGGACCAGAGCACGCCAGGCACTCCTGTCTTCCACTGCCTCCCCCAGTTTGGTCAAACCCATGCTGGTAGCTTCGAGAACGCTGCCCAACCATCATTTATTATTATTATTTATTAAAATTTGTATACCACCCTTCATCCAAAGATCTCAGGGCGGCTGAGAAGTGAAACATAAGATGCATAAGATATATAAGATACAAAAATAAGATACATAATAAAACCAAAGCAAACCAATGACCCACTTTCCACAGACACATTTTAAAAGCTATAGACGAACTCGTGGTTGAAGAGAAACATTTATTTTGGTGAATATCCTGAAAAATATCTCAAAACTTCTTTTTTGTGACCCTTTGCAAAAAAAGCTCAACAACCCCCCCCCAAAAAAAAAATTGGCAATCCTAGTTTATGCCAATAAATTTGTAATTAAAAATAAAAAGTAATGGACTTGCATGTGTGGATAAAGCAAGGGATTCTCTTACCTGGGCAGAGTCTTACTTTCTGGGGATGGGTCTTTCTCAAGCCAGCTTTCATAGAGGGTTTTGCTTCCATATCCATCATCAGGGCTTACTATCTAGGGAAGGAAAACAATGGGTCTGAATATGACGATTTCAGCACTATAAGAGAGCTGCCACCTCTCCTATACGTTTAAAGCAGTATCCTTTCACTTTAAACAGCCAGTTCCCCCAAGGAACTCTGGGAACTGTAGTTTTGTTAAGGATGCCAAGAGTTCTTAGAAAACCCCTATTCTCCCTGTAAAGCCGAAATTCTGAGTGGTTTAACAGCCAATTCCACTTCCCAGGGAACTGTGGGAACCCTGCTTCCTTTGGAATGTTGATTCAGCACGAAATGGTGCACAAACGCAAGACCTGCATTTGCACCTGTCCTCAGAACCATGAGGCCTAGAAAGTTGAATTTTTTTATTTTAAAAAACTGTGATTCCTTAAGAAGCATTCCCTGCACCGAGGATCCCTGCCAGATGAAACTAGGAGAAGGAAGGGGGGGGCAGAAAAATGATTTGTACCTCTTTTGTCAGATCATACACCAATTGATTGAGAAGAGGAGTGCAGTCTACTCTTAATGTGTAGTTGCCTGAAAACCAAAGTATATATAGACATTTGTATTAATACTGATGGGACACTCTTAAAAAAATAAAATTTGATTTTAAAAAATTATAATTGGCTACGTCATACCAGACAGTGCCAGATTTACGTACAGTTATACCTCATGTTACGTTTTTTCAGGTTGCGTCCCGTGGTGACCCGGAAGTACCAGAAAGGGTTACTTCTGGGTTTCGCCACTTGCGCATGCGCACAAGCACCAAATTGCACCGCGCACCTGCGCAGATACGGCGCTTCAGGTTGCGAACTTTTCATGTTGTGAACAGGCCTCCAGAATGGATCCCATTCGCAACCAGAGGTACCACTGTATAAGCTAAACAAGCTATAGCTTAGGGCCCCACTCTCTTGGGGCCCCCCAAAAAATTTAAAGGAAAAAAAACACCTGGGTGTACATTTCCAAAATATAAGATAAAAAACAAATAAAGTGGCTTTAGATACTTATTAGGTCCATAAATTACCATATAGCATATATTCAACACGAAAAACAGTGACAATTTGTTGTTGACAAAGGACAGCTGGACATATAAAGGGCCCCATTACCTTCAGTAGCTTAGGGCCTCATCAAACCTAAATCTACCTCTCTCGACATTGGCTATTCGAGTGCCGTCTCTCAGTATTGGCTATTTAAGCCCCGGTATCTCTCCAAATGTAAAAGTGGCACAGAGCTGAAGATGGTCAAACGATGCTCACCTTCTATAGAAGAGTCCGAGTTGATGTAAGCCACAGCCCGTGCTTGAAGAATTTTGGCATTCTCCTGCAGTTACAAAAAGATACAAGCACCACAGGCTGATGACAAAGTTAACTGGGTTGTTTTTTGCCACAGCAGCAGCTGTATATGAAACGGACATCCTAGTGCAATCACATGTATGAACTGTGATAAAAGGTAAAGTTACCCCTGCCCGAACGGGCCAGTCTTGACAGACTCTAGGGTTGTGCGCCCATCTCACTCAAGAGGCTGGGGGCCAGCGCTGTCTGGAGACACTTCCGGGTCACGTGGCCAGCGTGACAAGCTGCATCTGGCAAGCCAGCGCAGCACACGGAAACGCCGTTTACCTTCCCGCCAGTAAGCGGTCCCTATTTATCTACTTGCACCCGGGGGTGCTTTCGAACTGCTAGGTTGGCAGGCGCTGGGACCGAGCAGCGGGAGCGCACCCCGCCACGGGGATTCGAACCGCCGACCTTTCGATCGGCAAGCCCTAGGCGCTGAGGCTTTTACCCACAGCGCCACCCGCGTCCCCATGAACTGTGATAGCTATGCGCATTTCTCCAGTCGCCGCAGGGATAGAACAATAGAACTTTAGAGTAAAAAAACCAGAAGCGTTTTTACTTGGTATTGTAAGTGAGGATATTGACAGACAGGACAACAAACTGTTTTTATATGCAATAACAGCAGCCAAGAGTATTGTTGGCCCAGAAATGGAAACAAGAAGAACTACCAACAAAAGAAGAATGGCAGATGAAATTAATGGACTATGCAGAATTAGATAAGATGACAGGAAGGATTCGAAACCTGCGGGACCAGAGATTCACAATGGACTGGAGCAAATATTCGAACTATTTGAAAAGCAACTGTAATAAACAGATCACGCTAGTAGGACTACAAGAAGTTTTGTAAGGAGGATTTTGCGAAAGAGAAGATTATGAAGAGAGTTAATCGTTAAGATGGGACGCAGGTGGCGCTGTGGGTTAAAGCCTCAGCACCTAGGACTTGCCGATCGAAAGGTCGGCGGTTCGAATCCCTGCGGCGGGGTGCGCTCCTGTCGTTCGGTTCCAGCGCCTGCCAACCTAGCAGTTCGAAAGCACCTTCGGGTGCAAGTAGATAAATAGGGACCGCTTACTAGCGGGAAGGTAAACGGTGTTCCGTGTGCTGCGCTGGCCTGCCAGAGCAGCGATGTCACGCTGGCCACGTGACCCGGAAGTGTCTGCGGACAGCACTGGCTCCCGGCCTATAGAGTGAGATGAGCGCACAACCCTAGAGTCTGGCAAGACTGGCCCATACGGGCAGGGGTACCTTTAATCGTTAAGATAATTGAAAGTAATAGTGAAATTAAGAAATGTAAATTAAGTGAAAAAGATGGGGAAATTCTCAGATGTGATTGATAGAAGTAAAAAAAATGATATAAGCTATGAAATTATGTGAAATGATTGATGAAAATGATGTCATTCATATATATATATATATATATATATATATATATATATATATGCAGGTTTTGGTGTCCTCGGGTGTCTTCCCGTGTAAAAGTTGGGGTGTCTAGGCGACGTTTCGACGAGGTCTCACTCGTCATCTTCAGGCTGGTGCTTTCGGCTTCTTGTTACTGGAACAGAGCTGAAGCCGAAAGCACCAGCCTGAAGATGACGAGTGAGACCTCGTCGAAACGTCGCCTAGACACCCCAACTTTTACACGGGAAGACACCCGAGGACACCAAAACCTGCATTCCTGTACCCGTGAAAATCTACGAAAGCATATATATATATATATATATATATATATAACTTTAGAGTTCGAAGGCACCCCAAGGGTCATCTAGTCCAGCCCCCTGCAATGCAGGAATCACAGCTAACGCATCCCGGACAGATGGCCATCCAACCTCTAAGGAAGGAGATATAGAAATATAATAATAATAATAATAATAATAATAATAATAATAATAATAATATTTATTTATTTATTTATTTATACCCCGCCCATCTGGCTGAGTTTCCCCAGCCACTCTGGGCCGCTCCCAATCGAGTGTTAAAAACAATACAGCATTAAATATTAAAAACTTCCCTAAACAGGGCTGCCTTCAGATGTCTTTTAAAGATAGGATAGCTGCTTATTTCCTTCACATCTGAAGGGAGGGCGCTCCACAGGGCGGGCGCTACTACCGAGAAGGCCCTCTGTCTGGTTCCCTGGAACCTCACTTCTCGCAATGAGGGAACCGTCAGAAGGCCCTCAGAGCTGGATCTCAGTGTCTGGGTTGAACGATTGGGGAGGAGACGCTCCTTTAATTAATGATAATGATAATCACCACGTAGAGCAGGATTGGGGGCAGAGTGAAATGAAGACAATGGAAGGGGGTGCTTCCCCATGGGGTCATCACATCACTGCTAATGGGATTTACTGGGGCAGACCCCCAAATCTGCTCATAACCCATGGTTTAAAAGATGTTTGCGCTGTTTGTGGGAAAATTCAGGCCCCCTCCGGACCAGTGTATTCTTGCTGTCTGGAGGGGCACATTGCAATCAATGACTAGGTTAGATCCTTAACTTCCATTGGTCTGTTCTGAGTAAAAAAAATAGAGAGTTCCTGCGAGTCTCAGCAAAATATTCTGGAATTCACCACTTACCTCTGCCCATTCGGTGGAACCCAACAGCCCAAATTCTTCCGCATCCCAGCTGGCAAAAATTATTGTTCTCCTAGGCTTCCAACCTGTTGGCATTGAAAAGGCCATCATCTCTCTGGATGGTTCAACTTATAACAAGGCTGAGGAATTTGTGGGCTTCCAGCTGGATTGGACTACAACTCCCAACAGCCTCAGCTAGCATGGCCAATGGACAGGGAGGATAGGAGTTGTAGTCTAGCAACACCTGGAGGACCAAAGCTTTTCCCATGCCTGCTTTTTAAACACAGCCCCAGGGCAGTTAAAAACCATGCTTCAGGAACCTCTATAAAATAAGGATCTCTTTCTGATTGCCTTAGTTTGGGATCAGGATTTTGTTTTATTCGTTGCTTTTCATTCCATCCGCCGGCAATTATATTCCTTAAGCAAAGGACCAAACAGCCTTACAACCTCTTAAAAAAAAAAAATCATTTAAAATTTCAACTCTGATCAACAAGAGCAATCAAAATTGAAAAGGCAATGCCATTACAAAAATGGAATCGGGTTTTAGAAATGCCATTGAAACATGATGATGATGATAAGACTAATAAGCATCTTTCGGGAAACTGTTCCACCAAAGAAATTCTCATGCCCCATGGAGGTGTACATGAAACCTAAGTGTTGGGACCCAAATCATCTCCAGATCTTAGGGCTTAGGAAGAAATACTTTGTGGGCTCAGAATGGACTTGAGGGTCTAAACCAGCTTCCCCAACCTGGTGACCTCCATACACTAGTGGCCAAAATTATGGAAATCTTTTGGGGAAAGTGTATTTCCAAGGTTTGATGGCTCATAACACCTGATTGGCTCTCTAAACGCTCGTGCTCATTGGCTACATTCAAATGAAGGAAACTTACTGCATATCAACCTAAGCAAGTTGTGCTTCCTTTTTCTGGTTATTTGGCTATAACTTTTAATAGAATACAGATAACTGAACAAAATTTGTTGCATTACATTCCTCATTAAATTATCTTTCCATTGATGTGCAATTTTATGGTATTACTATCAAAATAAAATGGTATTATGAGCCATCAAACCTCAGAAATGCACTTTTTCCAAAAGGTTTTCACAATTTTGGCCACTAGTGTCTATTGTTGGACTATAACTCCCATAATTCACGTCCCCTGGCCATTCTGGGAGGGACTGATGGTAGCTAAAGTCCAACAACTTTAAAAAGCTGCCTTAGGCTTATATAAGTCTGCAATCCTGTACCCATTTAACTTTATGAAAGTTGCGCTAGACTTGCCAAGACTTATTTCTAAGAACAGGATATAGCTGTAAAGTGAATCACTATTACGATGAATTGGGTCTAGAAACAGATAGCCTGGGCAGCATGCTTCATGTTTTATTTTCTATTTGCGCAGTTCATTACCTTTCTTCACCAACTTGCCAAAACTCCGAGCCACCTCTTGAAGGACGGCTGCCCCAGTGGTTGGGTCAATGCCGCCAAAGACCCAAGAATCTCTGTGGCCTCCCAAAATTATATACCTATCTAGGGAGGAGGAGCAAAAACAAAACAAAAATATAAGAGAGAAATGTTACAAAAAACTGGATCTACCTCAAAATATACTTGGCAGATGTTTCTTTCCTTATTCTGATCAGACTTTCCCCCCGCAAAGGGGCTAGTGGGGTGGGAGAAGAATAGAATTTTCAGAGGAAGAATAAGAGGAAACCCAATCCATTCCATTCAGCGATGCTGCAAAAAAGGGCTCTTTCAGATTCTCAAATTCCGGTTACCTCTGAAACTTCTGCAAAAGAAATGACTGCAGAGCACTAACAGGCTCAAAACCAGGGTTGAGCCGAAGTGATCTATGAAGGACTGGCTTTGCTAGCTGTGTTTGCAGCTCCCCACAGTGGCGTTGGCAGGGGTAAGGCTCAGGGGCAGAATCCTAGAGCCCCACTCAGCAGAATAAAGCAGAAGGAGCTGGGGTCTGTCAGAAGTTCCTGCTGCAGTCCAGGAAGGAGCGGCATTTATTTACTGATCTCCCCCCTTTCTAACAGCAGCCCCTTGTACCATCTCTCCTGCTGCTCTGCAGGGTCCCGACAAACTCTTCCAAGCTGGGTTTCCAAGGGGCTGTATAAATCAGCAGGACAGAAGGAACCCCAATATCTGCAAATCGCTTTATGGGGCCTGAGCTTGCGCTACCATGTAAAAAAACAACAACTCCATCTCAAGGAGGGACAAGATGGCAAAATGGGCCTCTGGGTGGACCTTTCACTCTGTTGTTGTTGTTGTTGTTTAGTCGTATCCGACTCTTCGTGACCCCATGGACCAGAGCACGCCAGGCACTCCTGTCTTCCACTGCCACCATCAGCTTGGTCAAACTCATGTTAGTAGCTTCGAGAACACTGTCCAACCATCTCGTCCTCTGTCGTCCCCTTCTCCTTGTGCCCTCAATCTTTCCCAACATCAGGGTCTTTTCCAGGGAGTCTTCTCTTCTCATGAGGTGGCCAAAGTATTGGAGCCTCAGCTTCACGATCTGTCCTTCCAGTGAGCACTCAGGGCTGATTTCCTTAAGAATGGATAGGTTTGATCTTCCTGCAGTCCATGGAACTCTCAAGAGTCTCCTCCAGCACCATAATTCAAAGGCAATCAGCCTTCTTCATGGTCCAGCTCTCACTTCCATACATCACTACTGGGAAAACCATGGCTTTAACTCTAACGGACCTTTGTTGGCAAAGTGATGTCTCTGCTTTTTAAGATGCTGTCTTAGGTTTGCCCTCGCCTTTCTCCCAAGGAGCAGGCGTCTTTTAATTTCCTTTCACTCTAGGAACATTCTAAAACCAACAGCTGTTAGGCCAGAAACAGCTCACCAGGTTCCACGGCTCCTTTGATGGTCCCAATAACGTTGTATATTCGCGTGATTTTATTGATTGTGTGAACGTGCATTCTGACTTTCCTATAGAATAAAAACACAGTATTCTGTGAGAGCATAGTAGTGTCAACCAAACTAAGACTTGCCAGATCAACAGTGAGGGGATGAATTAGCATTGGGGGTCTGCTCCTGGTGCCAAAGAGCGAAGCTCATCTCTTGATTGTACAGTCATACCTTGGTTCTCAAACAGAATGCTTTCCGGGAGTCCATTCGACTCCTGGAACCATTCAAAAACCAAAGCTTGGCTTCTGATTGGCTGCAGGAATGTCCTGCAACCAATCAGAAGCTGCAGAAGCCATGCCGAACGTTCAGCTTCTGAAAATAGTTCGGAAACCGGAACAAGCACTTCTGGGTTTCGATCGTTCGGGAGCCAAGGCGTTCGGCTTCCAAGGTATGACGGTACAAGAAAACAAGGCTTTGGTACTGCAAGAAGCTGCCCTGGATAAGCTGTTCCTTGGATCAAGCCTTCAGGTACTCCTGCTCTGGCTCATGCAACCTCTTTCCGGGAGCAAAGGGCAAATTCATGAACTGGGTCAGTGCAAGAGATTTTGCCGACTGAGGCAAAAGGCAACATGGAACCTGCTGCCACCACTCAAAGTTGACTCAAGTGGCAGTAGAAACCTTGACACTGGTGCCAGGATGGCATCTTCCACTGCCAGGTAGCTGAGGGAGGTGCGAAACAGGTCATGTGTCCCACAACACCTCACCACCACTCCCAGCACTCCAGCATCCACCACCTGAGATGGTCACATCCTTCTGCCTAATGATAGGGCTGGCCCTGATTGGGGGAAAGGGCCATAGCTCAGTAGCAGAGCTAGAGGGACCCAATGGTTTTCCTCAGTATAAGTCCACTTCCTATGTTCTTCTATTTCTCCTTAGTCTCAAGTTTTCCCCTTGTTGAACTCTGCAGGGAGAACAAGGACAAAAACAGAATGAGTTGACTCTGCCCGTCCTTGGCTTTGGCGCCACCTACTGTTGGCCTCCATACCTTCTGCCTTGCCAGTTCTGATGGGCACCAGGTACCACTGGGATATGCCATTTGTGTAGGCAATATGCTACGTGAAAGACACAGAAGACCTTCCAGGAAATGGCAGCAACTCTCATATTTCATAGGCTGTTTCATAGGGTTTGGAACGGCAGCTGGATGGTAGAAGTGTTCAGACTGACCTTCTGGAGTAGGTGCCGGAAAATCCGGGCCCAATGTTATAGGACACATTGAGATTTCCCTTCCAACTCTCATCTGGAGGTGGAGGACCTCCCATGGACCTGCAGGAGCGAAAGCAGACAGACAGATCTTGGCAAGGTTGTTGAATTAGCAGCCATCATCTCCTTAACACAGTGATTCCCAAATGGCAAGTATGAAGGGGGCCCAACATTTAGTGCCTTTAGGGCTTGTCATCAGATTAATATGTGATATGCTTTCTGTTTTAGGGTCAGGGCTTCTAGATATGCATGTGAATTGCTGTATTGCAGGTAGCGGTCCTACTATGTCAAAATGATTCTGTTTCACTGTCCCTTTCAGAGGAAACATCCAGTTTAACTTATTTTCTTTACTTATAATGTTTTCAATTCAATCCTTCCTCCAAGGAGCTCAGGAGAGCATATAAAGCATGCCCACCTCACAATTTTGTCCTCACAGATACGTTGAAATTTAGTTAGGCTAAAAATAAACTAGGCTGACCCATCCAGTGACCTTCATGGCTAAATGGAGATTTGAGCCTAAATCTTAGTTTAAGCAGTGTGAGATTAGGAGCCAAGCTCATATTTCCAAGATAAATACGGTGTCATGCCAGTTCTTTTTCCATATCAATAAAAACGTGTGTGTGTGTGTGTGTGTGTGTGTGTGTGTGTGTGTGTAAAACAACGATATTTTTATATTGCTAGAATAACTGTATGAGCTCACCCTGCTTTCTGCAAACACCAAAGATGACTGAAATCTACATACCGTAATAAAATTTCAGCATCGTGGTAGCCAATGGGATGAACTGGGATTCTGGGAATCCCTACTCCATCGTCAACTCCGTATCTGAAGGTATATTCTGAGGAACCAAGAAGAGTTTCGAGATAACCACTGTGTAAGATTTGTGCAAGGGATGCAGGTGGCGCTGTGGGTAAAACCACAGAGCCTAGGACTTGCTGATCAGAAGGTTGGCGGTTCGAATCTCTGCGACGGGGTGAGCTCCCGTTGCTCGGTCCCTGCTCCTGCCCACCTAGCAGTTCGAAAGCATGTCAAAGTGCAAGTAGATAAATAGGTACCGGCGGGAAGGACAACGGCGTTTCCGTGCACTGCTCTGGTTTGCCAGAAGTGGCTTAGTCATGCTGGCCACATGACCCGGAAGCTGTATGCCAGCTCCCTCGGCCAATAAAGTGAGATGAGCACCGCAACCCTTTAGGGGTCCCTTTACGTTTACCTTTAAGCTTTGTGCAAGCAAATCTGGGTGAATCCTGAACAGGCAGGAAACCTTGAAACTCACCCCGTGAAGCAAATAGTTAAACTTACTTCCCAAGTGTAAGACTGTGCTGGGTACATCACTAACCTTTGGCTGGATACCCCGGGGTAAGGGGATCTCCTGCACCGTTGAGGTTTAAGACATTCCCGCGCTGCACTCCTCCTCCAGGGAGATTCCACCCATGCGGATAGGGCTCAATTCCAGGGGCACAGTAATCCGCAGAGTCTGAGTAAAGGATAATCCCTTTAGCTCCAGCTAACATGGCATTTTTAACCTACAGAGCAGCCAAACATTAAGAAGTGGTTTTCAAAAGGTGCGTTGGCATAGCCCGAGAAATCAGTGGCATTCGTTCCTTGTCTTGTTGCCACTGGCTTGGAATCAACTTGATCCCCTTCCCCTCTATCCTTTTTCCTTTCCCCTTCTGTGATGGAACTCCTATTTGGGGACTTCCTTGGCTTTTTTCTGGCTCATGTAAGACCAGTCTGGATAGTTGGCCTTGGTGGACATTTGACGTTTTCACCCCCAAAAGGTTTTTGATTTGAGTTTCTACGCGGGTGGCGCTGTGGGGTAAACCACAGAGCCTAGGACTTGCCGATCAGAAGGTTGTTGGTTCGAATCCCCGCAATGGGGTGAGCTCCCGTTGCTCGGTCCCTGCTCCTGCCAACCTAGCAGTTCGAAAGCACGTCAAAGTGCAAGTAGATAAATAGGTACTGCTCTGGCGGGAAGGTAAACGGCGTTTCCTGTGCGCTGCTCTGGTTTCGCCAGAAGCGGCTTAGTCATGCTGGCCACATGACCCGGAAGCTGTACGCCGGCTCCCTCAGCCAATAAAGCGAGATGAGCACCGCAACCCCAGAGTTGTCCGCAACTGGACCTAACGATCAGGGGTCCCTTTACCTTTACCTTTACTGAAATGAGGCTGCATTTTAATGGTCTATTTTAATCTTGTTTTTAAGTTGTATTTTATCAATTGTTTTATACCTGGTGTTAGCTTCCCTGAGCCAGGTCTTGGCTGGGGAGGGTGGGGTATAAATAAAATTATTTATTATTATTATTATAGTGTGACTGGAGAACCTGTGGCCTTTTTAGATGTGCTTGAACCCCCAGCTACCATTGGGGCGGACTTTGGTAATATGGTGCCTGGAGCAAGGACAAAATTTGGTGCCCCCTGGCTGAAGCAGGACCTACAGGAGGAGAAGTTCAAAGTGGTCTACTCTGAGGTGGCGTTGGAGCAGCAGGGAGGAGGAGGCAGAGAAGAGCTTCCCACCCTGCTGGAATTGGGGGAGCCCCTCTGGCTGCACCCTGCGGCTCCTCTCCAGTGGGGGCCAAGTTTTTGCCTCCTCTGACACCCCCTCGCCTCTGGGGAACAGAAGGATCTGCCCTGACAGGGATCTGGGGCTAGCTAGGCAGCACAACTCGGTTTCATTCCAAGTCAAATTCCTAGAAGGGACAGTGAGAGTGTTGCTGGTGTGGTAATATTAATACGTGGAAATAGTCTAACCTGAGACTAGGGACTCAGCTACATTAGCCAAGAAACAACGTTTGGGATGCGTTATAAATATGCAACACCAGATGGCACCAGAGAGCAATAATAATAATAAAAATTAAGCAATTTCCATAGTGTTTTTTTCTTTTGTTATAACAATTTAGACTTATATTTATAACGTCCCCCCCCCCTGTGTGTAGATACACCCTATGTTTAAATAAGCTGAATAAGCTTTTGAAGTTCTCTGTAAAGGGCATTTGCTTGAAGCTTAGGATTGTGCCTCACATGAATAAACCATAAAGCTTGAAACCCTCATTGAGTGTAAATAAATTAAAAATATATAGTTTTGTTTCAGAAGTGCCTCCTCTTATTGTGACCCTCTGGGTGGGAGATAAGTCGACACTAGGCATTCTTCACATGAACAAAATACTGCTCTTTCATAAAGGAACCTTACAACAAACAGTTAAAACAGACATCTCCATTAGAGCTAAGAGGGAGAGCTGACTCTTTTAAACACCCAGAACACTGGCTACCCATCTGCCACCTTTAATGGGAGAGTCTGTCATACAACTATATGATGAAATGGAACACACCACTGCAGACTATAGGGGAACATAACATATTCAAACACTCCCTGGCATTAACAATGAAACAAAGCTTTTCAGGTGAAAACAAACCACAGTAATATTAGGGATAATGCTTCTGGCATAATTTGCTTTATGCTATGCAGGTTTCTACTTGTGGGAAGGTGTTTTTATAGCAGGCAGAACTAAAAAATGGGATCTCTACCTGCAAACTGAAGTGGTATGATCCACCCTAACCCCCCCTCACCCGGGGAGTTTGCTCCCTCATTCCCACCTGATGTATTTCCACACAGAAACCTGAAAAGCAGCCTCTGAAAAGATTTATTATTAGGGAAGGGAATGGGGGGGGAAGAAGGAAAGAGAATGCAGCAGCAGCAGCAGCAGAGATATCATCAACTTACTTTGTTTCCTCGGAATATTTTCCCATATCGGGCAATGACAATCTTTCCTGTACAGTTGATTCCCATCTCACGCTCTAGTTTGAAAAAGTCTTCGGTGCGGCCGTAATTCACATACACCAGATCTGCCTTTTTGTGGGGGGGGGGGGAAATATTACATTTGATGTCACTGTCCATGGTTACATTGGGAATCTCTTATACAGTGGAACATCGGTTCTCGAACGTCTCTGTTGGCAAACGTTTCGGAACCCGAACGCCCAAAACCCGGAAGGAAATGCTTCCGTTTTTGAACGTGCCTCAGAAGTCGAATGGCTCCCGCTGCATGTTTTTTAAATTTTCTCAGCCCTTTGCACCTCAGTTTTTGAACGTTTCGAAAGTCGAACGGTCTTCTGGAATGGATTACGTTTGAAAACCGAGGTTCCACTGTACAGTGGTACCTCGGGTTAAGTACTTAATTCGTTCTGGAGATCCGTTCTTAACCTGAAACTGTTCTTAACCTGAAGCACCACTTTAGCTAATGGGGCCTCCTGCTGCTGCCGCGCCGCCGGAGCACGATTTCTGTTCTTATTCTGAAGCAAAGTTCTTAACCCGAGGTACTATCTCTGAGTTAGCTGAGTCTGTAACCTGAAGTGTATGTAACCTGAAGCGTATGTAACCTGAGGTACCACTGTACTTGTGTAGAGTAATAGTCTTTAAAACACCTATATCAAAACACATGAACTTGGGGAGTCTTGCAATGGTCAACTCCCATCCAGACTACTGTGATACATTATACAGGGGGATGCCCTTGGAGATGGGCCAGAAAATGAATAAGTAAGACCCACTACAAAATGTTGTATTGTGCTCTTAGCTCCTGGTAAAATATTCCTTGTTCAGGATTCCAGCAATGCCTTCTTCCAGGACACTCCGTTGTGTCCCACAACCAATATTCCTTTTTTCTTTACCATTTGAAACTCAAGAAACAATGGTTTTTTTGCCTGCTTTGGTGGGGGGAGGGGTTCCTTCTTCCACAGTAAGTTTGAACTCAAGTTTGAATTGTTTCTCAATTTTGACTCCACAGCTGTTGACACTGACTACTTGAGTTCAATATTATAGGGCATGGGTAGGCAAACTAAGGCCCGGGGGCCGGATTCGGCCCAATCGCCTTCTAAATCTGGCTGCGGATGGTCCGGGAATCAGCGTGTTTTCACATGAGTAGAACGTGTGCTTTTATTTAAAATGCATCTCTGGGTTATTTGTGGGGCATAGGAATTTGTTCATCCTCCCCCCCCTGAAAAAAATATAGCCTGGCCCCCCGCAAGGCCTGAGGGACAGTGGACCGGCCCCCTGCTGAAAAAGCTTGCTGACCCCTGTTATAGAGGAAGAGATACCAATGTTGCTAACAGGGTACTGGCTAGAGATTTTGGGATATCCCAGGAAAAACAGAAGCAGAAATTACTGTCTTTCATTTGTTCGTCTCGTGTCCAGAATGGAAATCATATCAGTGAATAAGTTTGGTATTTACTGCTGTTGCTTTCGTTCCACAAACAATACGTAACTGATTGATGTTTTGTTTTATCGGCTATTGTATAAATGTGGAATATATGTAACAGAAATCTTTTAAGAAAAAATTACCCTACAAAAATAAATAAATCAAATTGCAGCCTGCAGTTAAACCCTTAAAACCTTGAAGTTAGGTTACAGTTGAAGTTTAACACCTGCTTTCTGCCACACTATTAGCTGTAGCAATTTGAACCTTATCACAATGAAGTCACAGAATGCCTGGATGGGTTTGTTTTAGGAAGCTGAAGCAAGGAGGTTGAGATAAGTGTTATTTTCAAGGTCCTGTCGATATGGAGGAAAGGAGAAAGAAGATAGAAGAACAGCACATTTGGGGTGCTCAATGGCTCTAAAACCATTGATGCGCAAGCTGGAAAGACTGTAAGTCCACACATGTCAGGAAGACGTATGGGAGATGTAGGGAGATGTGCAAGGGGCAACAATACCCTAACTCACTCTCTTGTCAGCTCTGCACCCCATAATAAGAGTGTCCAGACCCAGGCACCAAAACTAAATGTTTATGAAACTTGTGGTTTGTGATCTGCAGGATTGAGGTAAGAAAAGTACCATCATTGGTGAGGGCCCCTGAGGTTTTGTAGTCCAAAGAACTCTATGGACTTACTAGGGCTTGGCGTGCCTGCTCATATCGCTCGCCAACCCCAAACCCTCCCTTTACACTTCGCCCATGCTCAGAGGCACAACGTGGAGATACTCAATATCAATACCATTATTGTCTTCTTGCCTAGCTTGCAAACTTTTCACTCTCCTTCCCACACTGACTTCCGAGGGCTGGATTTGTGTTTTCCCCACTCCTTACCGTTGGCGTGCCTTGCGCCGAAAAAGCGTTATATGGCGGCAGCACCTCTGAGACGTTTTCATATCCTGGAGGAGGAAGCTCAAAGAGTGACGTGTTGAAAATCTGTTCGGAAGAAGAGACACTATTAGAGAGCTGGAGTAGCATGTCACATACATTCAGAAAAAGTTTGTACTCATTAAGAATTGGAATTTGATATTCTGAATGCCAAATAGCCTCTATTGTTGTTTCTGGAAAGAGCTGGGCTACCAGTTAGGTGCCCATGGTTTGAGGACCTCGCTGGTGTCCACAAACTCTCCAAGTCCTTCAACGACCTTGTTCACTGCCCCTTCAGGACGAGGTGGTGAGTGTGGCTACCCCTCTTGAAAAACACACAGAATTAAAGGAGGGAATTGGGAGAGTACTGCCTTTCCCAACTCCTCTCCTAACTCTGTGTTCTTCTCAGGGCTCAGGTCGGTACCTGAGCAGCTAAAACAGGGGCCACCAAACATTTTGGCCCATGATGTGTGGCATAATTTGTTGGTCACACTGTTTTAAAAAATATTGAAGACTTGATGACGTGCGCCTTCGGTTATTAGGCAACATCCAACAATATGCTTCCACTAATGCAGGGAATTTTGGCTGTTCCAACAGAATTTCCCTTCCCTTTCCTGTTACCCCCCCCCCCAAAAAAAAAAATCTGTTCAGGGAGAGGAGAGGGAAGGAAAGTTTGTTGGTTTATACACCACCTTTTTCACTCGCTAGTTCAAGGTGGTGGTTATGGTTTTCCCTCTTCTCATTGAATCCACCCAACAACCCTCTGAGGTAGTATAAATGGCCCCGGTCCAGTATATCTGAAGGAGCGTCTCCATCCCCATCGTTCTGCCTGGATGCTGAGGTCCAGCACCGAAGGCCTTCTGGCGGTTCCCTCACTGCGAGAAGCCAAGTTACAGGGAACCAGGCAGAGGGCCTTCTTGGTAGTGGCGCCCGCCCTGTGGAACATCCTCCCATCAGATGTCAAGGAAAAAACAACTATCTGACTTTTTAGAAGACATCTGAAGGCAGCCCTGTTTAGGGAAGTTTTTAGTGTCTGATGTTTTAATGTGTTTTAATATTTTGTTGGAAGCCGCCCAGAGTGGCTGGGGAAGCCCAGCCAGATGGGCGGGGTATAAATAAATATTATTATTATTATTATTATTATTATTATTATTATTATTATTATTGGGGTAGGTTATAGTAAGAGGCTGTGCCGGACCTAAGGTCACTCGGGGTGCTCCCTGACTAAGCGGGGATTTGATCCCTGGTCTCCCGGGTCCTAGTCTGACACTAACTATTACACTGGTCCAGTTCTTCACAGCACTGGTTCCATTGTTGTGCCTTGACCTTGCAGAAGCATTCCAATGTTTTTCTGGCTCTGGCAAACACACTAGATCTGTGATTTTTCCACAGGTTCTGTTTATGGACTTCCCATAAGACTGGCCACTGTGAGAACAGAGCGCTGGACAAGATGGGCCTTGGACCTGACCCTGCACTGCCCCACAAAGGTTTGATTTGATAGTGGGGTGTTTGTTTGTGGGGTTTTTTTTGGAGAGGACATCATATGAAGTCATGCAAACTAATGTGAATCCATCTTCATTCTACCGGATCCATTTTTTACCCAGTAAAGACACTCTCTGTGTTTGCACACACATGTGTGTGGTTCCTCTCTTTCTGTGTGTCTGCCAGGGCAGCGGAGAGAAGCAACCTGAAGAGGCGGTACTCTTGGCACCCTCTCAAAAATCCAAATGTACCCGTGTAAACCCCTCCCCCAAGAAAGATTGGCAGCGCCTGGAATACAAAAGCCACCCACTTTCAAATTTGATTCCGAGATCTGACACAGTTTAGCCCTCCTGAATGCGATTCTTTCTTTTCTTTCAGCTCGCATGCAGCAGAGGGAACATTCTGCCCTCTTTACCTCGTTTCCATGATCATTGGTAATGGCAACATAGTTGGGGGCGCTTTGATTTGGGTAGGAAAGTAGGACATCGTAATGAACCAGCTCGGCTGTATCCAAGCCAAATTCCTTCCACTGGGCTTGTATCCGTCTTGCCAGGTGAAGATTTTGTTCTGTTCCTGCCACATGAGGGAGCTTCGTGAAAGAGCTGAAATGAACCACAGAGGTTGGTTTTTTATTATTAAAAAAAGAGAGAGAGGATAAGCATTGGGATCTCCTGTTCCCCAAAGCCCAAAGCAGGCAAACCTTTTCCAAAATGGTTTAGAACAGCCAAGGTAGAATCATAGAATCATAGAGTTGGAAGAGACCACAAGGGCCATCGAGTCCAACCCCCTGCCAAGCAGAAACACCATCAGAGCACTCCTGACATATGGTTGTCAAGCCTCTGCTTAAAGACCTCCAAAGACGGAGACTCCATCACACTCCTTGGCAGCAAATTCCACTGTCAACAGCTCTTACTGTCAGGAAGTTCTTCCTAATGTTTAGGTGGAATCTTCTTTCTTGTAGTTTGGATCCATTGCTCCGTGTCCGCTTCTCTGGAGCGGTGATTCCAAAATAATTCTATTCCCATATCATCGCTGCCCCTCCCACAAAGGATGCATCTTTGTGTTAAAAAATGGGTGTGGGGGTTTAAGACAGCCCAGGGCAGTTTTATTCTCCCCAGCTCTTGTGAGACTACAACTCCCATCATTCCTGACCACTGGTCCTGCTAGCTAGGGATGATGGGAACTGTGGTCCAACAACAGCTGGGGAGGGACTGGTCCAGGGGCTTGAATGTGGCCCTCTGAATGTGGCCCTCAAAACTCTTCTCGGGGGCCACTGCTTTCACTGGTCCTTTCTTTGGGCCTTGGGTTTATTTGCCTGGCTGAGCTCTGGCCTGAACTCTGCTGGGATAGCTCAGTCAGTAGAGCACACGACTCCTAATCTCATAGTTGTGGGTTCAAGCCCCACATTTGGCATAAGATTCCTGCATTGCAGAGGGTTGGATTAGATGACCCTCATGGTCCCTTCCAAACTCTACAATTCTATGATTCAAGGATGTTTCTTGTTTTCCTAGATGAAAGATAGGCGTGTTTGAGCGTGACTAGCCTGCTGTGTAAAGGCACTATTTGCATGCATTGCTCTGCCCAGTTTGCCTCTGACCCTTTCTGCCCTGGGTATCTGCCCCTCAGAAGGTTTCCCAGACAGTAATACAGTCCTTGGTCTGAAAGCAGTTGCCTACCCCTTATTTAAGAAAATTCACCAGTCCATCTAGCGAACTATTGTACTACTCTGAACCTAAGATCCTGCTGCAGCAGCAGACCAAAAGCCTATCTAGTCCAGCCAAACCATCTGTGAAGTATCTCCCTCCCTGTATGATTCTTCATTCTACAGCTTGCCTGGGCCGCCTGCTACTGGCCATGAAAACTGCAGCATGACGACAGCCTTACTTTTCTTTATATATAGTAAGATAATGCTTACTGTTCCACAAGTCTGTACTGCTGTGTCCAAAAGCAAGCAAATTAAGTAGTCATCATTTGGCAAGGGGCAAGAATGATTAACTGCTGCCTTAAGCAGAGCAGATATGTGGCAAACTGGAAAAATCGCAACTGAAATGTATCCTTTTCAGGGTATTTTCCAAGAGTGGATTCTCAAGTGGGTTAAAGTTTAAATGAGTGCTATGTCTATATGTGAAATTCCAGGGTTGTGGTCAGTAGGGTATACGGAATATGTGGGGCGGTGGTGAGGGATAAAAGAAAACCAGGTTAGATAGGATGGAGGCACATGACTGCCTCCTCTCCAAAGGCAGACATTGTGGTTCAATGATTAATCAACGTCTGCAGCAAATTACAGTCCAAGCAACTCTGATGGTTAGTCAGCTGAGTCTGTTCTTCACGTGATGCTCTGCATCTGAGAAGGTTTCCAATCTGTACCTCCTTTATCTCTCCCCAGATGTTCAACGTTTGAGCAGCAAGAGCAGGGGAAGAGTGCTAAGCACCACCCCTGTCACCCTCTAGGACAGAGGTGGGGAACCCTTAGGCCTAGGGGTAAAATCTGGCCCTCCAAGATTCTCTCTCTGCGCCTTGGAAATCTCCCTAGCCCACCCACCCCCTGCCTTGTACCCAGAGCATTTCTGCCTGACTTCTGATAGCACCTTTTGCTCATCTGAATGCAACATTAATAATAATAATAATAATAATAATAATAATATATTTATACCCCGCCCTCCCCAGCCAGAGCCAGGCAAAGGGCGGCTAACACCAATAAAATCACAGTAATAATAGGGGGGAAAGAGGGGGGGGACCAAATTAAAATACAGGTTAAAATGCAGTTTAAAATGCAGCCTCATTTTAAAGTAGCTGATCAATCAAGACCATAAGGGTCAGGCTGAGTCCAAACCAAAGGCCAGGCAGAACAGCTCTGTCTTGCAGGCCCTGCAGAAAGATGTCAAGTCCCGCAGGGCCCTAGTCTCTTGTGACAGAGCATTCCACCACATAGAGAAGGGTGTGTGAGCATGTGCAGAAGCTAGCCTCCTGCACAAAAGTAAAATTCACATGTATTGCTCTCCCCACTTTTGCTTGGGACCCCACCCACCACTGACATGTGGATCCTTGGAAGACTGCCCAGAAGGAAATATGGCCCTCAGCCACACACTCTAATTTCTGTTGTAGACTGCCTTTTTCTGTGAAGTTATGTATGATGCTTTGGGGGTGTTTTTTTGGCTAAGGAGCCGGGCGATTTCTAAAGTCTTTAAAAGTTCTTGCACACCTTTGTTCTGGGTCCTCACCTCCTTGCAATGGGGGTGGGGGGGAGGGAACTCTGTTGCAACAGAAAAATAAAGATCTGACTTGCTTTCACTGGATTTTGCCTCCATCCATTCTTCTCTGACTGATAATGGATTTAGAGGGCACAGGGTCCCTCGATGGGGAGTTGGGCTGCATATGCCAACCCCATTTTTTCCTATAACAGACTGAAGCAGGGGCCTGATCCTGTTTTGGCTTCCACTGCCTTTCACTTGGCAGTCTGTTCATGCCATTCTGTAGCTTGCTCTGCATTTTTACAACTTTTAAAACAGTCACCAAAGAAAGCACCAAAACTCACCGCAGAAATTCCCGGATGTTTTCCGCCTTCAGTTCTGCAAAAAGTTGCCTTCTTGCATTTCGAAAGACGTGTGTTGTGCCAGCTGGCTTGTTCGACGATTTCACGCACCATCCTGCAATGCCGTCGCAATGACAACCGTCAGTTCTGCCCCCCCCCTGTCCTTCCAAGCACTACTATTATGGGATTGCACCAGCCAAGATATCAAGGTTCCTTTCACTTGCCCATCATCCAATGTGATGGGATTATTTCCAGGGAAAACCTGTGCTTTAAATGTGCCATGTGGATGTGACCAGAGAAATCAGTAGGCTTCTCATACTGTGGAACAAAACACTATCCTTGGCAAGTTCTGCATCTGTTAAAGGAGGGGTGATGAATCTCTGCTCCATGGACCATATGTAACCGCAGTGGCCTCCTCTTCTGGCTTCAGGCTGAGAGAGAGAAGGGAGAGACAGTGACTGGCCCAAGGTCATGCAAGGGAGTGGGGCACAGCGGTTAGAGCAGTCTCTCTCTCTCTCTCTCTCTCTCTCTCTCTCTCTCCCCCTTCCTCTCCTTGTGTCCTCATCCCCAAGTTTCGTGTGTGTGTTTGTGTGTGTTCTCTTTTTTCCAAGGAACTCAAGGGGGCCTACCCAGATGTCGTTCCCCCCTTGAATTCACCCTCAAAACAACCCCATGAGGTCAGCTAGGCTGAGAGGGAGTTACTGGCCCAAGGTCATGCAATAATAATAATAATAATAATAATAATAATAATAATAATAATAATTTATTTATACTCCGCCCATCTGGCTGAGTTTCCCCAGCCACTCTGGGCAACTCCCAATCGAGTGTTAAAAACAATACAGCATTAAATATTAAAAACTCCCCTAAACAGGGGGTCTTTTAAAAATGAGATAGCTGCTTATTTCCTTCACATCTGATGGGAGGCAGTGTAATGTAATGGTTGGAGCAGCCTCCCTCTCTCCCTCCCCCCCCCATGTGTCCTCACACCTCAGGTATATACTGCGTAGATATATTTAGGTCTTATTACGGGGTGATTCATAATGAAGGATACAGCTTCCATTATGAATCACCCTGTGTTTTCTCAAAGGAGCTCAAGGTGGCCAACATGGATCTCCCCCCACCCTCCTCTCAATTTCATCCTCACAACAACCCCGTGAGGAGTGGTGCAGCAGTAAATCTGCTAGCACATTTACAAAGCTAAGCAGGGTCCAGGATGGTTTCAAACTGGATGGGGAACCATGTGTTGCGATTCCTGCACTGCAGGACATTGGGCTAGATGGCCCTTGGGTTCTTTTCTAACTCTACAATTCCACAATTTCCCTGGTGTGGCAGTTAGGCTTGGAATTGGCCTCCTATTAGAGCCAATGGAAGACTGTATTCAGTCCAGCGGCTATAGGGGACATCTTTGGGGAAGGCTCGCAGCTGGGGATGGAAGGGTTAACTCCTCCCCATGTACTCTAGGAGCAAATAGACAGCTATAGGAGCCGCTTCAAAAGTTGGCAACACCAGGCTAAACGAAAGAAGCTGCCAAGACACAGGAAAGAATCTTGTATATATACTCAGGCAAGTTTGGAGCTAAACCAGTAAGCTGCCCGCATTTCTGTTTTGTTCTGTTTATTAAAAATAAAATTAGAAAGCCCTTGAGCTGAGCAAGAGCTATCTGAGTCACTGCTCCCTTGGGCTGCCTAATAAAGAGATGAGCAGAGCTTCGGCTGGTTCGGTGGCATTGTTCAGATGCCTTCCCTCGCTCGGGGATCGCAAAGGAGAGTTGTGAGCAAGAGGAGCTGAAGGAGGGAAATGAATCCACTCTAGAGTGAGGGGTGGGAAAGGTTTTTCAGTCTGAGGGCCACATTCTCTTTGAGGCAACTTTCTGGGGGCCACATGCCAGGGGTGGGCGGGGCCAGTGACTGGGAGTGGCTGCCGAGACCATATAACACCAGTCCTGAAAGAGCTACATTGGCTCCCAGTATGTTTCCGAGCACAATTCAAAGTGTTGGTGCTGACCTTTAAAGCCCTAAACGGCCTTGGTCCTGTATACCTGAAGGAGCGTCTCCACCCCCATAGTTCACTGAGGTCCAGCTCCAAGGGCATTCTGGTAGTTCCCTCCCTGCAAGAAGTGAGGTTACAGGGAACCAGGCAGAGGGCCTTCTTGGTAGTGGTGCCCACCTTGTGGAACATCCTCCCATCAGATGTCAAGGAAATAAACAACTATCTGACTTTTTGAAGACATCTGAAGGCAGCCCTGTTTAGGGAAGTTTTTAGTGTCTGATGTTTTATTGTGTTTTTAATATTCTGTTGGAAGCCGCCCAGAGTTGTTGTTGTTGTTGTTGTTGTTGTTGTTGTTGTTGTTGTTGTTATTGGTGGGACAATGAATGTGCATTTTACCACTGTGCAGTAGGCTAGTTTGAAACCCACCAGCTACCCTTACCTGGTTTAGCTGGCCAGGGAAGCTGCTCCCCAGGTTGTGACTACCTCGGGTTACAGATGCTTCAGGTTACAGACTCCGCTAACCCAGAAATAGTACCTCGGTTTAAGAACTTTGCTTCAGGATGAGAACAGAAATGGCACAGCAGCAGCGGAAGGCCCCATTAGCTAAAGTGGTGCCTCAGGTTAAGAACAGTTTCAGGTTAAGAATGGACCTCCGGAACGAATTAAGTTCTTAACCCGAGGTACCACTGTACTGTCACCACAGGTGAGAGCTGAATGCAGGGTGGGACCCAAAGGTAGACAAACTACCGCAGAAGGAGCATGATGTGTCCCCACCAGAAATACGACCCCTCCCCTAACACCCCATACATTACTTGCGCATTACTTCACTGGTTTCAAAATGTGATAAGCCAATGCTGGGGCTTCTCCCTCTGCTGAGTGGAGCCTGGGGTATCTGCCACAAAGTCCTGTTCAGAGAGCACCACTGCTAGGAAGCTGCAAGCCTGCCTTCTTTAGAAAAACCCTCAGCAGCTTAAAGCAAAAACAGAAGTTTTGGGTGATGGGGTGGATTGGGGGGTGAGGAACCAGCATGACATGATATCTTTGCTAAGGAAATAAAAGCCCCCACTGTCAGCTTATCGAACATAACACAGAGCTTTCCAAATTACTCCTTTTGTGTATTTGTGAGCAGACGGAAGGGGAAAAAACAACAATTGCAACAATCTTCCCTTGACAGACTTGCTTCCTTTACTGGGGTTATGTAAGTGTTCAGTCTCAGCAAAAGGCCTGCCTGTCTTAAGAGTTGTGCTGTTTCAAAGCTTCACCTCTATCCTCCCCCATAAAGAGGACTGTAAAAAAAAAGCATAAAGATGCATTGAGCCGAAACAGTCTCACTGCAACAGAACACAGGGAGTCATTATCATTTTGGCCAATTCATCTAGGCCAATATTGTCTGCTCTGGCTGGTAGCAGTTCCCCAAGGTCTCAGGTCTTTCTCATTAGTCCTTCTAACAGTGAACTCAGGTGCCGACAGGACTGGAGCCAAAACAGAGTTATCCAGCGTATTCAAGGCATCTCCTGAAGCTTGCGGAAGTACAAAACCTCAAAGGTCACACACAAAATAGGAGACTACTCTGCATGCTCAATAGCCACAGAATATTGACTATCAGTTGGAAAACAAACAAACAGAAAACCAGGATTTGGGAGGAATGGGATAACCTGTTTGGAATGAATGGCTGCTCTCAACAGGAGCACTTGTCACCTGTCAACAATTTTTTTAATTAAAAAAGCCATGAGGCTTTACATGAGGCTTGCTTTCTGACGCCCTATAAATACGTTAGAAACGGGAAATTTGAGAATGTGGTGCCAGAAACATATTGATTACTCTGTTACTATCTAGGTCCTAGATGATAAAATGGGTGTCCTTCCTTTGTAATTGGTTGCATCGCTTTGGAAGAATAAAGGGCATCTGATTATCCAAGCATCACCATAGCTTGGATGGGTGATGCGATGGGCATGGAAGGTTTAAGGGATGGGCTTCCCCAATAACATCGCCTGCTGAAGGGTCCAGCAGGTTTGCCAAAAACCCTGTGCCTTGGTGGGGAGAGGTTCCGAATCCAAAGGGTGCCTGTGACAAGGTCAGTACATAACAGGAATACAAAAAGTCTCAGTCCAGTATATCTGAAGGAGCGTCTCCACCCCCATCATTCTACGCGGACACTGAGGTCCAGTGCCGAGGGCCTTCTGGCGGTTCCCTCACTGCGAGAAGCCAAGTTACAGTGAACCAGGCAGAGGGCCTTCTCGGTAGTGGCACCCGCCCTGTGGAACGCCCTCCCATCAGATGTCGAAGAGAAAAATAACTACCAAACTTTTAGAAGATATCTGAAGGCAGCCCTGTTCAGGGAAGCTTTTAATGTTTAATAGGTTACTGTATTTTAGTGTTTCGTTGGAAGCTGCCCAGAGTGGCTGGGGAAACCCAGACAGATGGGCGGGTATAAATAAATTATTATTATTATTATTATTATTATTATTATTATTATTATTATTGGGGTTCGCTGGGACTTCCAGCAAACGGCAGAGTCCGTTTGGAATGCCTGCGCTCAGCCTTGGAGCATGTGCAAAGCGGGAGCAACAAGAGCGCCTCGGAGAATGTGCAAAGCGCTTGTCCCATGCAGTGTGGGTGCACAGGAAGCTGCCTTTAACTAGGTCGGAACTATTTGTCCCACACCCGCCGAAGTGTTAGACAGCAGAGATTTCCCTCTTCTGTTGCTTACCTGAGCACCCCACCGCCACCTCTCCTCTCACTGTGCGCTGCGCCCAGCTCAGGACTGGCAGCAGCAAATCAGGATTTCAGACAGGTTTCTCTCCCGACCCTCCCTGGAGATGCCGGGGATCGAACCCGCGATCTTCTTGCTTTAAGCACTGAGCCGTAGGCCCTTCCCCCGAAGAGATCCGTGCGCTCAGGGAAGCCCGTCTGGCTGCTTTGACGCGCGCGAAGCCCTGCTCTGATTTCCGCCTCGCCCACCCCACCTCGCGCGCCCTGTTCCAAGTAGGGGGCTGCCCCCTTTCCCGGAGCCCACAAGCCAGGATCCTCACTCGACTCACCCACCAAGAGCCCCAGCAGGAAGATCGCCAGGAGAGCCACGAAGCCCAGCCAGCTGCAGATAGCCACCTTCCTCCTGGCCATGGCGCGTCCCGGAGCGAAAGGAGGCTTGCTCAGGACGGGACGGGCTTTCGCAACCCTCTTGGGAGAGGATCCGAGCCGTCCCTCCTCCCACTGTGAGATCTTTCTCACGTCGAGAGAAAGGGGGCAGGGGAGAGTTGAGCCGAGGTTGCTGGAGGGGCGCTCCAGGCCAGGAGGGGGCCCCTGTGTGGGCACTGGACGTCTCCTGCCGGCAAGACACAAAGGTTCCCTCCCCCAGAAGTTTGCAAAACTGCCATTAAAAAAGAAAACAAGGAAAGATCAAGATGTTTTCCTCTTTTCCACCCCCCCCCTCTGTACTTAATTATACTGCCCTGGGATCTTTGGATAAAGGGCTGTATAGGAATCAGATAAATAATAATTAGAGGGTTGTGGTTTTTCTTAATTATTACTCTCAGACTCGGCACCTGCAAAGCAGGGCTTGTTTTGAGGGAGTTTTGAGTTTGTTTTGTAGTGGCTGGGCCTGGGACATCTGTGGCGGATAATCAGGGAGAGAGGGCCCTCAAGCATGTGCAAAGTGCCTTTCCGTTACGCTGGTTGAGTGTTGCTTCCTGCAACTCTCTCTCTCCCTTTGGAAGGAAACTTTCAACAGGGACAAATGTCAGGTTCTGCACTCAGGCAGGAAGAACCAGCTGCAGAAATACAAGATGGAGGACAGCTGGCCTGCAAGGGGCAACCCACCACTAACTGGAAACAAAGCCTTATGAGGAACAGTTGAGGGAGTTGGGCATGTTTGGCCTGGAAAAGAGGAGACTGGAGGGGAGATAATGATGGCCATCTTCAAATATCTTAAGGCAGGTGTGATGGCCTGGGATTCGGACTCGGATGCTGAACCTGAGGTATCCCAGCCTGCACAGGATTCCCCGCCTCCAGAACCAGCTGAGCTGGGGCTGGGGCATGAGCCTGAAGGGTCCTCACCTGTGCTTGGGTCCTCAGGTGCAGGCATCAGCTGAGTCTGCTCTGGCTCCTGAGGTGATGGAGGACCCATTGCCTGCAGGTGCTCCACTCTCAGCCCTGTCAGAGGAAGTTGAGGTTGCCTCTGGGTCAGGTAACCCTCCAGCCTCTCCTGAGCTGCAGAGGCTCAGGGCAGAGAGGCGGAGGGAACTAAGTTCCCGCAGGAGGAGTGCTCGCCTCCAGGCCAGTCCCAAGTTGCAGGAGCAACATTGTTGGTTGCTAGTTCCTGCCTGAACTCTGTCCTGCTTTCCTGCCTGAGCTCTTGACCCGCCCTGGTTCCCTGTTTGCATGCCTGTTCCTGACTTCACCCGACTCCCTGCCCTGCACCCAGCTTCAGCTACTATGGACTGCCTCCATGTTTCACCTTGGACCATGGACCGGACTTGGACTTTGCCTCTTGGGTAGCCCATGGGACCAGCACAGCAGGCTTCCTCAAACTCAGCCCTCCAGATGTTTTTGAGACTACAATTCCCATCATCCTTGACCATTGGTCCTGCTAGCTAGGGATCATGGGAGTTGTAGGCCAAAAACATTTGGAGGGCCGAGTTTGAGGACGCCTGTCTTAAGGGCTGTCACGTGGAAGATGGAGAAAGCTCCGGAGGGTAGGACTTGAACCAATGGCTTTGAGTTACAAGAACTAGGTCTTCCTTTGTCCCTTCTTCCCTTCTTAGGTTCTGCCTCAGGTTCCAAGACGTTTTGGACCAGCCGTGGTCCCAGGTTCTATCCTTGTCAAGGCCAAGTATGTACAAGTTTTAGTTTATGAAGGAGGCCCTGTTCAGTGGTTTAACGGACAAGTCCTCTTCTTGGGGAACTCTGGGAATTGTAACTTTACGAGGGGAGCAGGGGTCTCCTAACTACTCTCAGCAGCTTTAGCAAACTGCACTTTCTCAGGATTCTATGGGGTGGGGGGCAGCTGTTTAAAGTGGGATGATACCACTTTAATTGTATAGTACAGATGGGCCTTGATCTCTGTGTTCTACCATTTCTCTCAGTTTGACCTGTGAGGTCTTTTTATCCAAGCTATGTCCACTCGCCCTACACCTGATGTTGGAAACGATATCAGGTATGAGGCAGGCAAAGACAGGCATTGGACAAGTCACATCTGATGTGGAAAATGAAATCTCTTGAGATATATCATTAGCCTTTAACAGTCGCTGTGACAGGACCAAGAAGCAAGGCCCACTTGTACCTGTTTCCCTGAAATATACTCCGAGTTGAGAGTGGATTTCATGCTCTTTATTCAGCTCATATTGGTGAGGAGGAATGGAAGTTCCCCCAGAATGTCTGCTTTATATACATTATTTACACAATGGGCCCCACGTGATTGGCTAATTCCAGGATTCTCCTGTAGGCCAATCAGGTTGCGGATTCACTTCCACCTGGAGCTGGATTGGGTGGCTCCTGTGGACCAATCAGACTGCTGCATTCTGGATCCTATTGTTCTAGGACCAATCAGACTGCTGCATTTTGGATCCTATTCAACTCAGTACATAACATTTCCCCTCCTCTAGGAGCTTTGCAGTGTGGGGGGGGGGGGGAGAAACATTAAACCCTTCCCCTCCCAACACCACGACTGCAGATAAGAGTTAAAAAGAGAGATTGGGAGAGCCAATTGGATTTCCTGTGCTGTATGTAGTTTGCCTGGAGACAAAAGATTAATCTGTGCAAGAAAGAACAGGGGGAAAAAAGTCTTATGAAGTGGCGTTTATTTCTCTCCTAACACCCAAATGCCAAGGAAATACTATCAAGAAAATATGAAGAATACTCTTCCAAAATGTCTAAAACATATGTTCCTCCCACCCCCAGGGGCAAATTGTGTAGGTTTGCTGTCCTCTTTGTAGCCACAGAAAATAAATATCTGCTGCTGCTTCCTTTAGTTACTTTTTGTACTAGCTGAATCAGGTATTTTGGATGCCCAGTTGCAGCTTTAAGTCATGCAGCAGATGCTGCACATGGACTTCTCCACATGTCCTTTCCATTAAGCATCCCCATTGAATAGGGGTGGCTATGTCCAAACTTGCTTTCAATCCCGCTACAGAGCCACTGCCAGTCAGCTAATGGCCCGACTCAAAATAAGGCAGCTGAGACTTTGCTCGATGCTCCTTGGCTGTGATTCTGCCACAGTTCTTGTTTCCTTCAAGATACGAGCTGTATCAGTTGCTTTTAGCTATCCTCTGGATCTCTCAAAACCTAGCTGTCCTCGAGGTTTGTCATTATGCCCTTTGAGGGCATCTTGTGATGCTCTCGTCAAAACACGGACAAATCTGAGGTGCCCCTGCTTCAACAAATCTCGCCAAAGATACGTCTAACCAGATGGGATGCCACCTCCACAAACCATAGCTGTGAAAGCAACATGTATTATTAGCAGTGTTATGTAAGCGTTTAGGTGGTGATGTTAGGAAAGCTTCACTCCACGGAAAGCAGAAGATGCGTAGCCATAAATGTTATATCAGAGTTGGGGCTCAGGATCCATACTTCAAGGGTGAGGGATGAGAAGATGACATGATAGCAGAAATCCTGTCCTTGTTCATCCCTTTGACCATTTCTGCAGCTGGTGTGGTGTAATGGTTAGAGAATCAGAACAGGACTTGGGAGACCTGGGTTCAAAAATCCACTACTCTTACTGGGTGACCTTGAGTCAGTCACAGCTTGAACTGCCTCTATCTGAAGTCCTGTATGGTTGAAGTCCAATTTAAAGGTAGAGGACTACAAAGGAGAGCTCCAGGGCCTTGCAGTTGTCCATCAGTAGCTAGCAGAGGTCACCTGGTTGCTCTTCCCAAAGGTGGTTAGGTGTGTTTCATATTAATAATAGTAATTATTTTCTCATCAATGGACCAGCAACCTTCTCATCCTGTAACAGGTCAGGTTTAAGTTTAAAGCATTTGCTCTGTAAACCAACTTCCTGGGAGAACAATATGCCACACTCGGCAATCTTTTTAGAGGGAACTTTATTTTGATTTGTAAAGGCACAAAAGCAAAACCAATTTCTAAAGGGAGGTTCTATTGATGGGGAAACTGAGTACAGCAACTTCATCTGCCGTTTTTCAGTGTATGTTCCAGAAGGTATTGAGCTTGGGGTCATTTGCTTTTCAAAGCCAATAGGGGCCCCCAGGGCCACATCTGTCTGTGGGGCCACTCCTATGCCCAATGCTCCCCTCCCCACATGGACTTCCATGGTGACAGCACTCCAGGTAGCACCAGAACTTAATTTGATTTAAGTTTCACACAGTGCCCCAGAATAGCCAATGTAGACTTGTTCTGTGGCATTGTGGGAAATTTAAAATGGCATCTAACATGTGCTCACCACCAGTGAGAATACCAACCATGATGGGACTTTCAAGCTTCTAAGTTCTAAACGTAGATATCCAAAAGTTCAATAGCTCATTTACCCTCCTTTCCATAGAACTTTCATTTGTTTTTGTTTTTGGTTATGTACAAGTTTGTAAAGATGCGCCCAAAGCTTTGGGGTGCAATTAGATAATAAAGCCATGGAATTTAAAAGTAAGTTTTAAAATAAAGCCCAAATTTAAATCCTTTGCAAAGCGACTCATATTGAATGTAATGTGTGAACACCCCTCATGCCTTCAAGGGAACTGAGATCCATCAACACATTGGTGTGCCATCAGATCACATCTTTGGGGATCTGGAAGGTGGGCATTCTTCTGCATCAAGGTCCGCACCAATTGAACTACTTGTTTGTTTTTCCATCAAGAAATTGGCTTTGATGGCCCTCAAAACCTCAACGCAGGGAAGGCAATGAAAGAGATGCCTGTCAAGATTGGGTTGTGATGGTGTGAATAGCTTGGATTTATCTTTCGGTGTTAAGTCCTCTGAGCTGAAAACCTATATGGTTATCCATGATCAAGTGCCCGCTGAAATCCCTGGGATTTATGAGTGTACAACCTGTGTACCTATGTGCACAGTAATGTTCAATGCCTGTGTTGTCTGTGTGCACAATGGTTGAGGTGAACAAATTAACAAGGGCGCACTCTTTCACACAATCACTTGTACATGGGTAAAGGCAGCTTGTAGCTGTGTTCAGTGCAACATGTGAGCAAGGAAAGTCTCTACGGCCACCAAGTTCCAAACTCAGCAGGACTTTGGCAAGTAGAGGCAGCTCCTTGGACCCTCTAGGGATTCACCTGTTTCTTTCAGAGTCCCAGCTGCGGCAATGACTGTGAAGGCTGCAATGGAGATCTGTCTCTTGACTTCCTCCCAGGCCTTCTGCTGGTTCTCTGCGTTGGCAATATCAAACAGGGCATCGTAGATACCAGGAAAGGATACTCCAGCATACTTGTTGTGGCTGTTCGGAGCAAAGATGATGTGTCTGGAAACACAAGCAACCATATTTAAAAAGCAGAGTTCATGATAACATCTGGGGAGGTTGTGCCTGATGAGGAACCTTAACCCACCCTACTGAATTTTTTCAGGGACTCAAGTCCTATCCTTCAATATCCATCTCTTTGTTCCTCTTTGTCAGGAGTGGGGAATTTCTTTCTGCCATGGACCAGAAGCAAAAGCGTTTTTCTTGTCTCTGATAGATGCACCTCACACTTAGGAAGACAGGAAGGTGATGTATATTAGGTCTGACTCCAACATCAGCCGAAGAAGGAAGGGTGAAAAGACCACTTGCTTTTTCTTCTCAAGGCAGTTGGAGAACCATCATTCCTGCCATCATTGCTGGCCCCAGTAAGTGAGGTTCGGAGGGAAAAGGGGATGGATTCGGATAGGTAGGAGGAAGGGAGTTGAGGGGTTTGGGGGGAGAAGCTCAGGTCACATTTGGAAATGCTTGGAAATCAAATGAGCCGTTTCCTAATTATGATTTGTTTTTGGCATTTGGGTTATTTACATGCCATTGTAACATAGGCTGGTGTTTGAGGCTCCCCATCACTTGTTAAACACTTTAAAACCATGAGATAAATGTTTCTGTACTTGTGACAAACTGCATCCAACCCAGAGGTAGGTTTTTTTGGTTGTTGTTTTTTTTGTAATGAAAGGGGTGGAGAATCTAAAGACTTTTAAGGAAGCGAAGGAAATGTAGGGATGATAAATCACAGAATTGTAGACTTGGAATGGATCCCAAGGGTCATCAAGTCCAACATCCTGCAATGCACGAATCTTTTGCTGAAAGTGGATCCCAGAACCCAGAGATTAAGAATCTCATGTTCTACCAACTGAGCCATAAAAAGCATATGTTTTCTTACCTATAGAACGGCCTGCCAGGTAATCCAAGGGGATCAATAAATGCTCTTTCCAGAAACATCAGCTGATCGTTCCAAGATCTCACTGCAATAGGGCTGAAAATCAGAACACAGGGACAAAAAAAAGCATCAAAGCTGCTCCAACAGAGTCATTCGGCGCTGCCCTTTGGGAGCCAACACAAAAGCCAACATTCTCAAATGCACACAGGTCTGTTCAACAGCTTGTTGGAAGTTGAGTGCTGGACTTTTCTAGCTAGACCCTCCCAGTCCACTGAGGGGACGTCACTCTTTAGCATGCAGCAGACATCGGACTGAAGAATTCTGCCCCTGGGCAGAACAGGCCAGGTGTCCAATAATTCCAGGCGACTTACTTATTGGTGTCCAGTAGTTGCGATCTCTTGTGAAAGTCACTGGCAGATTCTGAAAACTTCCCCACTGCATCCAGGAGAGAACCTGGGACAGCAAAGAGGGGGAAAAGCTCGTCAATGGATTTCGTGAATCTTGTCTGCTCCATCCACGGAGATATAGTGCGAACACTCCTATTAAATGTTTATTAATCAATTTTATTCCCTCCCCCTCATCCTTTTTCCTTTCTCCTCCTGTGATAGAACTCCTATTTGGGGACTTCCCTGGCTTTTTTCTGGCCCAGTCTGGATAGTTAGCCTTGGTGGAGACTTGACGTTTTCATCCCCAAAAAAGTTTTTTATTTGAGTTTCCATTGAAATGAGGCTGTTTTAATGTTGCATTTAAATCTTGTTTTTAAGTTGTATTTCAATCAATTTGTTTTTATATCAGGTGTTAGCTGCCTGTCTTGGCTGGGGAGGGTGGGGTAAAAATAAAATTTATTTATTTATTTATTTATTATTATTTTAATTTTAACTTTATTGCAAAACAATTTACATATAACAACGCAGACAAACAGACTTTGTATATGCCTATTATGCTGGTGGTTTGGTTTTAAGTTTCCTAATGATGCCTATAATTGAATTTGTCTTTTTCACAGCTTCTGCAAACTTCATTGAACTTCATTAAACAACTTCATTGAAAAATCCACTACAGCCCCAAGGTCTCGTCTAGCTCCACACTGACTGCGCTGATGAGCAGTGGTTCTCGCGGATGTCAAAGGGAGGTGTTTTTCAACCGCACCAGCTAAAGTGCTTTATCTGGAGACGTTGGGGCAAACTGAAACCTTCTGCATGTGATCAGAAGAGACTATTTATGTATGCTACAACAGCTGCAAGGATGCTACTTGCCCAAAGATGGAAGGAGGACAATCTACCTACGAAAGAAGAATGGTTGATAAAGATGATGGACTATGCCGAATTGATGAAAATGGCCGGGAAAATCAGAGATCAAGAGGACAATCAATTTAACAAAGAATGGGGGGGGGGGAATTAAGTTATTTGAAAGAACACCATAAACAATTGAAAACATTGGCAGGATTTTAAAAACACATGCAATGAAGTGAGAATTATGATAAAAATGGAGCTTTAGGAAAATATGGAGAATATATGATGCAGTTTGAAAAGAATATCTGGGGAAACTGAGGAGGGGTGGAGGGAAGTTCAGGGATTCTGAAAATCCTATTTGTAAAAGGATTATGATTTATATATGATGTTAAATGGTAAAAGTGAAAATGAAAATGAATTAAAAAAACTAAAGAGAAACCTTCTGCACGTGAAAGATGTGCTCTACACTGGTTTGTGGTTTCTCCCCTAAGCAATGGGAAGCCTAGTTGCTGACCAGGGAAAAACCAGGGCTTGTTCATAAGACCTGGACACAACCAGCGTAGCAAGGGAAAGAGCCCACAAAGGGAATCGTGATGCACTCATGCGCAAGTGGGGTACTGATCCAACACCAGTGGGATATGCAAAGCAGCTGGATTAACAGAGTCACTGGGGAACTGTTTTTTTTTTAAGGAGTCCCACTTTGCAACCTTCCTCTTGAGACTTTCCAAGGAACCTCTATGAGTCTTTGCTGCAAGATTCCTGCATTGCAGCAAGCCAAAGGTGGGCAGAAGGTTTACCTGGTATATCCTTGGGTGATTTTGCAGTGGTCAGCAATGGATTTTGACCACGGCAATAAACAAAATTACTTTCCCCCATCTAAATCTGGCTGCTGAAATAAAGAAAGGTAACCAGGGCGTGTGAAAGGACTGCAAGTTCGGTTCAGTTAGGGTAATGAAAACAAATCCCTAGGCTCAGAGTGTGCTCAGTGCCATCCGGTTCATTAATTCTGCTCAGAGATCGGCACTGGGTGCTGATTCATTTCCAGGACAAGTACAAAATGTTACTATTAGCATGTAAGGACCATAACAACTTGGGACCATTTGGACGGCAGGATGTCCTTACCCCATCCATGTTCTCTGAACCCCTTTGATCTGTGGAACTGGCACAGTTATAGATGCACACCATGCACTGTTCTGCACTTGAAAGAAATCCCTCTGGGGCAACACCTTGGAACTCCCTGCCTATTGATATATGAGGGGGGTTTCCTTATACACCTTTGGGTGCCTGTTTAAAAAGGTTTTATTTAGGCAAGTTAAACCACAGAGCCTAGGGCTTGCCAATCAGAAGGTCAGCGGTTCGAATCCCCACGACGGGGTGAGCTCCTGTTGCTCAGTCCCTGCTCCTGCCCACCTCGCAGTTCAAAAGCACGCCAGTGCAAGTAGATAAATAGGTACCGCTCCGAAAGGAAGGTAAACGGTGTTTCTATGCGCAGCTCTGGTTCGCCAGAAGCGGCTTAGTCATGCTGGCCACATGACCCGGAAGCTGTATGCCAGCTCCCTCGGCCAGTAAAGCGAGATGAGCACCGCAACCCCAGAGTCGGTCATGACTGGACCTAATGGTCAGGGGTCCCTTTACCTTTACCTTTATCCAGTCATGCAGACTACTGACAGGTGATTTAACCTTTTTGCTCAGTGTTGATTTTAATTATTTCTGGATGTTTTAAAATGGCTTCATTAAAATGCCTTTTTAAAATGTCTTTTATTTATAATTTTAATTGTTTGTGGGCCCCCCCAATCTGCTTAGATGATAATGAATGATAATGATATTTTTTATTTTTATTTTTATTTTTATTATTATTATTACTGTTATTATTTATACCCCGTCCATCTGGCTGGGTTTCCCCAGCCACTCTTAGAGGTCTTATTACAATCAAGTTAGTATACAAATGTTAAATGAGAAAATAAAATAAAATTCTAACGGAATGTCTTTAGCCTCTTGGGGTTCTGGTAGGAGGAAAGTATGGATAGCTTACATGATGAATAATGTGGTTTGCTACGGGTTTTGTTGGGCTCCACCTTCCATCATCCCTAACCATCCATTGGTCCATGCTGGCTGGAACTGATGGGATATGTAGTCCCAAACATCTAGTGGTTAGCTATCCCTGGAACAAATGACCTCCAAGATTGCTTCCAACTCTGCAGTTCTCTGATTCTTGTCTTATGCCTGGTAGCACATACCTAATGACACGTTGTACGTCACCAAGGCTTCCTGGTGTTTCAGGGTCATGTTGTGAATGACGTTTGCGTAACCGCTGAGTGCCTTGGCATAATCCCGGCAGTCGAAAGGAAGGACGACAGAATCGGCCAGTTCAAACACCATTCCTCCTCGCACCTGAGCCACAGCAAGGTGGTTCTTAAAAGTGGGGTCATAAAACTGCTCCACGATCTCGTAGGTCTCGTAGACACTGTGATAAACAGGGTAGCTACTGTATTTGTCCACCCTCTGAAAAGCAAGAAGTGGGCACACTCAGAGTGCGTTTTCACATCTCATCGGTTTTTATGTGCAGCAAAAATACAGCAACCCTACAAGTTGGGTTGGGTGAAATGTGCAGCCACCCAAACATTGCAAACTCTTGGCAGCCACTGCCACATCAGCTGCCTGGTCACTCATGGCAGGATCAGGAGGTGCTGTGGTGGGAGATAGATTGGGCCCCATGCTGGCCAGCACTGGCGGTGAGATCAGCTCAGCATCCAGGGGATATGGGTCAGCTCAGCCTTGCCTCACTATCAGGGACCGGACATCGGAGGAGGAAAGTTGGAGACTGCCTCCCCCTCTTCCTGAACCTTCCTGAGAAGAGGAGGACAGTATAGATTTAGAATGTTGGTTTGAGGAGGGTCACAGCTCAGAGATAGAAGAGGGGCAAAGCTGGGAAATAATGGGAGAAGCAGAGCAGGAACAGCTGGATGACACATATATTACTATATATTAAAAAATAGTCCAGTAGCACCTTAGAGACCAACTAAGTTTGTTCTTGGTATAAGCTTTCATGTGCATGCACACTTCTTCAGATACATGCACACGAACGCTTATGCCAAGAACAAACTTAGTTGGTCTCTAAGGTGCTACTGGACAATTTTTTATTTTTTTATATATTTCGACTGCGTCAGACCAACATTATCACTAGAGAGCACGTAGTACCTACATTATCACTAGAGAGCATTCCAGACCCGCCTTCTACAGAACACAGCGAGCAGTGAAAGCAGGAGAACAAAGGGCTAAGAGGCAATTGGCCTCTCCCATATCAGTCTCTCCAGCCACAACAGGCACTGCAACCTTCCAACAGTTTGACTTCACCCCCAAAAGGCGCACTCCTCCATCGTCTTCCCAGATAGACATATGCCAGCAACAATAAATCACAGTGAGCTTTTAAAGGGATTTATATCCAAATCCCCCAGGACGCTTATTTCAAGATGCTGTGGAAGTAACAGAACAGGCTTACCCAGTTTTTCGTGTATCGAGCTCTTCCGGAAGCGATGCCCAACCTCTGGAAAAAGACTTCAAAATCATTGCCAGAGCCCAGCTTGTTAATCCTTTTGTGAAATGAAAAAAAGAGACAGGAGAGAGGGCAAACTGGGTAAACATTGGCGTAAAATTATTGTTTTCAAAGCAACACAGTGTACACACTGATCTTTTTTATGGGTTGTTGTCTAGCTTTCATTGTAACATATTGCTCTTTTTTCTAATTTTATGTTATGCTTTTAAAATTCTGCTATTGTCTCTGCCTCCCAAAGGCTTGCATGGCTGTTTGTTGCAGCAGCAGCCCTGGCTACAAGCTCCCCAGGTGAACGGTGCCTCTGGGGCTGGCCAGGGGGTGCTTCCCAGGCCCCTGTGGGGAAGTGAGAGGAGGCACCTCTCTTTGGGGCGGGGGGGGGGCAGCTCAGAGACCAGGGGCAGCAGCTGCAGCTGCCCAAAGGACTCCCAAGGAGGGGGGAGAAGAGAGGAGGCTGAGGGAACACTCCACAAGCGAGGGTGACTTAGTACAGTGGTACCTCGCAAGACGAATGCCTCGCAAGACAAAAAACTCGCTAGACGAAAGGGTTTTTTGTTTTTTGAGCTGCTTCGCAAGACAATTTTCCCTATGGGCTTGCTTTGCAAGACGGAAACGTCTTGCAAGTTTGTTTCCTTTTTCTTAAAACTGTTAATACAGTTGCGACTTGACTTCGAGGAGCAACTCATAGAACGCGGTGTGGTAGCCTTTTTTGAGGTTTTTGAAGACTTTGGTGATTTTTGAAGCTTTTCCAAAACTTTTCTGAAACCGTGCTTCGCAAGACGAAAAAAATCGCAAGATGAAAAAACTCGTGGAACGAATTAATTTCGTCTTGCGAGGCACCACTGTAGTAGTAATAAATACTACTGCTAATAATAATAATAATAATAATAATAATAATACTCCGTCCATCTGGCTGGGTTGCCACTTAGAGACTCTTTACATAGTAAAGAGTTAAAAGTATCTGAAGAAGTGTGCATGCACACAAAAGCTCACACGAATAACTAACTTAGTTGGTCTCGAAGGTGCTACTGGAAGGAATTTTTTTATTTTGTTTTACATAAAGGTAAAGGGACCCCTGACCATTAGGTCCGGTTGTGGCCGACTCTGGGGTTGCGGCTGCTCATCTCGTTTAATTGGCTGAACCAGAGAACCACAGCACTGCACAGAAACGCTGTTCACCTTCCCGCCAGAGTGGTACCTATTTATCTACTTGCAATTTTGACGTGCTTTCGAACTGCTAGGTTGGCAGGAGCAGGGACCGAGCAATGGGAGCTCACCCCATCGCGGGGATTCGAACCACCGACCTTCTGATTGGCAAGTCCTAGGCTCTGTGGTTTAACCCACAGTGCCACCCGCGTCCCAATTTGTTTTACATAGTAAGTGACTAATCAATTGAAAGCATAGTAACAAATACATAACCCTTCTTTCCTCCAAACAGCTCACAGTGGTGTACTTGGCTCTCTCTGTTCTCATTTCATCCTCACAACAACCCAGTGAGGTAGACTGACTGGTCCAACAACACTAGTGAGGTTACATGGTCAGGCAGGGATTTGCACCCTAGTGTCCCAGCTCCTAGTCCTATACTCTAACCACTACACCACACTGTCTCTCTAGGGAGATCCAGTGAAGGCCAACGAGGCACAGCTGTCCCACTTCTGCCCTGCTTGTTTTGCACTTCGGTCCTTGTGACGCAACAGGTAAATGAAGAAACCCCACTTCTGGAAGGAACCACAGTTGTTTCCTCCGCCATCCCCTCTCCATCCCAACCCCCCTGGAATTTACCTGGGCACACCTTCCTGCTCCGTTGAGGGGTTTTTCTCATGCCAGCTTTCATAAAGAGATCTGCCTTCAAAGCCTTCATCGGGGCTTGGTATCTATTAAAACATAGTAAGTTTTGCAAACGTGAAAACGAAAGCGATGGGCGACAAACAAGCTGCCCTCTTCCTATTCCATGGGAAACAAGAGACAGGAAGCAGAAAGAACTTCCTCCCCCCCCATCAGTTTTATTGCTTGCCTTCCCCCACCCCATTCCCAAAGGACCACAGAGCAGGTAGTGATATAAAAGAACAGGAATGCAATCACAATTTGGAATTTGGAAATTCCAAATTTGGAAAACAACCACCACATTAGCACCTGCCAATCAAAGACAGAACAGCAACAAAGTTGGAGACAACAATGGCTGTAAAAGGTAAAGGTAAAGGTACCCCTGCCCGTACGGGCCAGTCTTGACAGACTCTAGGGTTGTGCGCCCATCTCACTCAAGAGGCCGGGGGCCAGCGCTGTCCGAAGACACTTCCGGGTCACGTGGCCAGCGTGACGAAGCTGCATCTGGCGAGCCAGCGCAGCACACGGAACCGCCGTTTACCTTCCCGCCAGTAAGCGGTCCCTATTTATCTACTTGCACCCGGGAGTGCTTTCGAACTGCTAGGTTGGCAGGCGCTGGGACCAAACAACGGGAGCGCACCCTGCCGTGGGGATTCGAACCGTCAACCTTTCAATCGGCAAGCCCTAGGCACTGAGGCTTTTACCCACAGCGCCACCCGCGTCACATATCTCAAAGCAAATAAAAAGTTTTCAGATTGCACTGTTAGAGGCAGGTGGTTTTTTTTTTTTGCCCATCTGGGAGTTCCATAAATGTGTCCGTTCATTCATTTCCTAAAATTTATACACCGCTTGATTGTAAGTACAGTGGTAATAAATAATAAATTATTATTAATATTATAAATCTATTATGTTTCTTCTTAGAGTTCATTTCCCCATTTCCTCTTCTTTTATTTTACCTCTTTAGTCAGATTATATACCAGGCTATACATCAGTGGGGTGCAGTCAATTCGAAGGGTGTAGTTGCCTGAAAGAGAAGTAATATCAATTAATTGCAGTTGTATCATGCCTTTCCTCCGGGAAGGTCAAGCTCTCCTCCCCGTTTTATCCTCACAACAACCCTGTGAGGTAGGTTGGGCGGAGAGGCAGTGACTCAATCAAAGTTGCCCAGCGATCTTCACAGCTGGGTGGGGATTAGAACTCTGGCCTCCTGCATCATAGCCTGTCACCCTAACCACTATGCCACACGGGTAGTTGCCACTCTACTGTCTTTTAGATAGCTCAGTTGGTAGAGCACGAGACTCTGGATCTTAGGGACGTGGGTTTGAGCCCCACATTGGGCAAGGGGTCCTGCATTGCAGAAGGTTGGACTGGAAGAATCTTCCAACTCTATGATTCTATTCCATGACTATTAAATGGGGCCTGAATATGAAAATCATGAAGTTGTTTTAAAGGTCTATATGCGCATTTGTATATAGAGCTTTAAAACAACTTCATGATTTTCATATTCAGGCCCCATTTAATAGTCATGGAATAGAATCATAGAGGTGGAAAATTCATATGCACATTTGTCCAGTAGTGATGTATGGAAGTGAGAGCTGAACCATAAAGAAGGCTGATCGCCAAAGAATTGATGCTTTTGAATTATGGTGCTGGAGGAGACTCTTGAGAGTCCCATGGACTGCAAGAAGATCAAACCGATCCATTCTGAAGGAAATCAGCCCTGAGTGCTCACTGGAAGGACAGATCCTGAAGCTGAGGCTCCAAGACTTTGGCCACCTCATGAGAAGAGAAGACTCCCTGGAAAAGACCCTGATGTTGGGACAGATGGAGGGCACAAGGAGAAGGGGACGACAGAGGACGAGATGGTTGGACAGTGGTCTCGAAGCTACCAGCATGAGTTTGCCCAAACTGCGGGAGGCAGTGGAAGACAGGAGTGCCTGGTGTGCTTTGGTCCATGGGGTCACGAAGAGTTGGACACGACTAAACGACTAAACAACAACATGCGCATTTGTGCAACCAGTGGCAGAGCATGCACCAAACTCCACTAATGGAAGGCTCTTTAATCCAAAGGGACAGCTTCCATAAACAGAAGGGAAAGGAGGGGATTCTAGCTGTCAACTTTTCCCTTTTCTTGCGAGGAATTCTATTCGGAATAAGGGAATTTCCCTTAAAAAAAGGAAAACGTTGACAGCTATGTATCTGCAATCCCTGCACCCCCTTAATCTGTTCCATAGAGTTGGGGGCCATTTGGAACTGCGGGAGGCAACAGAAATTTAAGACCTTTTTCCCCCCAATCCCAGAACCCTCCACTAGCCTCCAAAGAGCAGAGGATACAACCCATCTTTTTAAATTTCTAGTTTGAGTTTCTTTTTTCTTCTTCAATTTTTAAAAATTAATTTTCCACATTTATAACAGAAATTACCGTACATACAAAACACAAAAAAGAAACACATTACAATACTAAAGAAAAACAAGAAAAACACTTATTACTTCTAAGACCTAATTTAACTTTCATTGTTTACTGACTTCCTCAAATCCTCCATAACTGAATTTCATTGTATCACATTGTAACCGTTCTCCAAGATCATATTTCTAATAAAATTAACACCTTCAATTCACTATCTTCTTCTCTTTTGAGTTTCACTGCATGATGTTGTATTTTCTGATGGACGCTGGCCTGAATGCTTTATTGGGTGGTATTCAACTAAGTTTTATTCAGATCAAACCCAGGACTCAGCTACATTAGCAAAGATACAGTGATTTGAATGCACTATAAACATGTAACACCTGATGGCGCCAGAGAGCAGGAAATTTTAAAACGCGACTTTCCATAGAGATTTCTTCCTTTTGTCATAACAATCTAATCTTTGACTTATTTACCGCGGTTTCCCCCCTGTGTCTAGATCCACCCCCAATGAACTTAATGGACCAAATATTCATTTTAGTGGAGGAACAGAAGTGCAAATGAGGTCGCTGTTGCATCACATTACACCCACTGGTGCAAATGAAATTTAGCATGACGTGGTGGTATATTGATTTTTTAAAAAATCCACAGTTCCCCAACCCAAGGATTACATGTTTATGAAGTTTAACCCGAAAAGACAACTCAGTGACCACAGCCTTCTCATTCTCTATTAAAACTTGCATATATTTTACCTTCTATGGAGGAATCAGCATTGATATAGGCCACACCACGCTCCTGCAGTATTTTGACATTTTCCTACAATGGAAATTAAGAAAATGTTTGTTCATCTTCATGCCTAAAATATTTCTCCATGGTGAAAATGATGGACAGATGAAATTAGCTAAAATGTACAAAACAAATAATAAATGCTGGAAATGTAAGGGAAAAGAAGGTACTTTTTACCATATGTGGTGGGAATGTAAGAAAGTAAAAGACTTCTGGGAAATGATTTATAATGAGATTTTTAAAATGTGGAAATATATATTTGTAAAAAAACAAGAAGCCCTTTTACTAGGTATAGTAGGTACAGAGATTCACAAGCATGATTAAAAATTGTTTATATATGTGACAACTGCAGCAAGAATAGTATTAGCCCAATTTCCTCAGCATTTTCCTTATCACAAAAAAATCTGATCTTTTTAGGATGTGTGTTTATTGTACAAGAGTTCCAAATCGGCTGTAACTATGCAGTCTGAACTGGGCACTACAGTGGTACCTTGCTTCTCAAACTTAATCCATTCCAGAAGTCTGTTCCAAAACCAAAGCGTTCCAAAACCAAGGCGCGCTTTCCCATAGAAAGTGATGCAAAACAGATTGATCCGTTCCAGACTTTTAAAAACGACCCCTAAAACAGCGATTTAGCATGAATTTTTCTATCTAACGAGACCATTGATCCATAAAATGAAAGCAATAAACACTGCAGACGCACAATCAATCAATCAATCAGTAGCTGAACTGGGTTCCACAGTCAGAAAAACAAAACAAAAAGAGCCGCAAAAAAGCAAAATAAATAGCAATGACCGCTCCCGCTTAAAACGGGGGGCGCCCTTTGCGTGGACGCGTGAAGCCCCTAGATCTGGAGCGGCTCCAACAGCATAGCCTTGGCTTTGCCTTCCCTCAGGTGGGATACCTGGAGGTCTCCGCCTACCTCAGTCAGTTGTCCAATCCCACCTGGGGGAAGCGTTGCCAAGGAGACCAGGCCAGGTAGGAGAGGGATTACCTGCCCACACAATAGAGGGAGGATCTTACCTGGGAATCCTCACTTGGCTCCAGAGCTTCTCCCACCCTACCCACCCTCAGTTAATGTCTTATTTTGCAGGTTAACTTTTCTTCACAGGTTTTGCAGGTTAACTTTTCTTCACAGGTATGCGGGCGCTGCTACGTTAAGGTCGCTGTTAAAGGGCCGGAAAGGAATTTCCCTGCATTGGCAGGTTTCGCCTTTCCCGTTAGCAAAACGTCACAACTTTGGCGGTATCAGGCCTTGGGCGGAATCCTTTTGTCCATCTTCCTCTTTGCGGCGGCGATACCAGGGTTCCCCGTTAAAGGGGTTTCTGAAGGGAGGCTTTGACCGTATGCCGAAAGGTCGTCATTGCTCTCCCCTGCGGCGTCGGCGTTACGGGGGCGGCTATCTCTGCTTGAACATATGTTCTCCAGAGCCGGCCCATCCCCCCCCCCACACTGGATAACCCTGATGCTCCCTAGGTCCCCGGCTGGGGACTGGGGAGGGAGAACGCCCAATGCCTGAGCCAAGGTCTACCCACATTTGAAATTTAATAAAGTTGTGGCCAATTTAATCCCATAGCACGTTGTCTTGAGTCGTTATTCCACATGACGGGGGGACCGCGCGGGATCTGGGGACTCCGCCTGTCCACGCAAAAACAGACCAGACCTCAGCATAACACTCAATACAGAAGTGTGGCACTCAAAACAGAAGCATAACACTCCAAACGGAGCATGTTCGGCTTCCGGAAAAAAGTTCGCAAACCGCAACACTTACTTCCGGGTTTGCAGTGTTTGGGTTCCAAGTTGTTTGAGTACCAAGGCATTTGAGAAGCAAGGTACCACTGTATGTGAATGGATCCTACTCAGAGACAGCGACCACCTGGAAGTGTCGTTCCTATTGATTTACCTCAGCCCACTCTGTAGATCCTATCAAGCCAAACTCCTCAGCATCCCAGCTGGCAAATATCACCGTTCTCCTAGGCTTCCATCCTGCAGTTGAGATATTGAGAGCAAACACAATATATTTGTTTATTAAAAACCATTTCTAAACCACTTAGCATTTCAAAAACCTCCTCAGCAGCGCATGACACGCGAGATATAAAAACCACTATTGATTTAAAACAAAAATACAAATGGAAACCATAAAACAAAGGCAAATAAAATAAAACTAAAATAAAAGCACCTAAAACAGAAATTCAGGGGATTCATACATGAAACACAGGGTCCCGTCTTGTGGGTCAGGGGTGGCCTAGGCAAAAGGAGAAGGCTTTACAAGACGTTTGAAGCAATGAACGGTTGCTGTGTCATGTACAGCAGAGGGAAGACATTCTGAAAGGGCATTCCACAGTATAGGGGCAGCAGCAAAAAAAATGGCCATTCTTGGGGTTCACTGCGGTGTGAGATTCTGTAGGGTGCGATGCCATGAATATAATTCCCCCGGAAATGATCTCACACCATAGCTGTCAACTTTTCCCTTTTCTTGCGAGGAATCCTATTTGGAATAAGGGAATTTCCCTTAAAAAAAGGAAAAGGTTGACAGCTATGCCAGGTCTATACAGGGGCAAGTGGTCTTTCAAGTCACCTGGTCCTGAGTTCTTAAGAAAATTATATGTTAACTAGAAGACCTTGGCAGCTGATCAAAAGCCAGGAAAATCTTGGCACAGGTGCAATATGTGTGTGTCTACGTCAGGGGTCAGCAAATTTTTTCAGCAGGGGGCTGGTTCACTGTCCCTCTGACCTTGTGGGGGGCTGGACTATATATATATATATATATTTTGGGGGGTGAATGAATCCCTATGCCCCACAAATAACCCAGAGACACATTTTAAATAAAAGGGCACATTCTACTCGTGTAAAAACACGCTGACTCCCGGGCCGTCCGCGGGCCGGATTTAGAAGGCAATTGGGCCAGATACGGCCCCCAGGCCTTAGTTTGCCTACCCATGGTCTAGGTGTTTTAGACAACAGTCTGGCCACTGCATTCTGCGCCAGCGCTCTCTCTCTCTCTCTCTCTCTCTCTCTCTCTCTCTCTCTCACACACACACACACACACACACACACACAGCTCATCAGAGGATGAAGCTACTGGTGAAAATAACCTTGAGGTAGGCCTTTTTCTGAGTGGGATAAGGACCAGAATTTAACAAGAGGAGCCTGCAAGAGTATGTTTCAATGTATGCTCCTTGATTTGTTGTAAGAGGGAATCCCATTCAGGGTTGCGTGTCTACCAACCGTGCCTTCATCCAGGATACTACAAGCTGCAAGGACTTCAAGCAGAGCTTTCCACCATCCCATCCCCTGTTTTGGGTTTGCTTGTTTTCCTCTCCAACTGACAGTCAGCGTTCTGTGGCTACTGAATGGGCTCAGTTTCAGCGGGCTAAGGCATATTTTCTTTTTCAGAGGGGAAGTTTTGCCCTTCTGAAGTGCCTTTTGCAGATTTTTTGTACTACTGCCAATCTCAGGGTCCCTCAGGCATGTTGATTCCTCCTCCTCCTATTATTATTAGGTAAAGGTAAAGGTACCCCTGCCCATACGGGCCAGTCGTGTCAGACTCTGGGGTTGTGCGCCCATCTCACTTAGGAGGCCGGGGGCCAGCGCTGTCCGGAGACACTTCCGGGTCATGTGGCCAGCGTGACAAAGCTGCATCTGGTGAGCCAGCGCAGCGCACGGAAACGCCGTTTACCTTCCCGCTAGTAAGCGGTCCCTATTTATCTACTTGCACCCGGAAGTGCTTTCGAACTGCTAGGTTGGCAGGCGCTGGGACCAAGCAACAGGAGCGCACCCCGCCGCGGGGATTCGAACCGCCGACCTTTCGATCGGCAAGTCCTAGGCACTGAGGCTTTTACCCACAGAGCCACCCACGTCCCCCTATTATTATTATTATTATTATTATTATTATTATTATTATACTGTCATATAACCACAGGTTTCAGGGCAGTTCACAGGATAAAATCAGAATATAAAACCACAAAATACATAATCAAAATAACAACAACAACAACCCAATAACCTCCCCCCAAACCATTATAAAAAGGCCATGTTGTCAGTGTCCCATTTTGGCTACATTCCTATCAGCACTCACAACCTGAGCTTGCTATCGACTGGAGTGATTTGTATCATGCTTCTTTACCCATTAAGATGCCAGTATTCTTCTGCAAAATGTTATTCACACCAAATCGAGCAAGTCCTTTGCAGTTCTGACTTGGTCGTTTAACAACAACAAGAAGCCATTGTTCCTTAAAGCCTCTCCATCATCAATAAAACAATTCAAAGGCAAGACATTTGCATGCCCTGTTCTTTTCTGCTTGTCAGTCCTTGTGTCTGCTTAAATCCCATTGATTTCAATCAGACCTGAGCAATCTCAGTGCATGCAGGATTGTCGCTGTTACAGGAAATAATGAAAAAAGACTGAAACCCTCTAAATTGCAAGGATTTTTGCTTCAATTTTTGTTTCGTTTTGGATTTTAGGAAGCTTCCTTATACCAAAGCAGACCATTGCTCCATCTACCCCAGCATTGTCTGCACCGACTGGCAGCAGCTCTGCGGGATTTTAGGCAGGAGTATCTCCCAGCCCTACCTAGAGATGCTGGGATTTGAACCCAGGACCTTCTGCTCTGCTGCTGAGCAGTGGCCTGAGCAGTGGCCTTTCCTTGCAAAGGTTCTGCATGTTGCTACATAACATTGCATATTAGACAGATTAAAAGACACACACAATATAGTAATAAAAATAAAAATAAAAAATCTGTACCCAAAATCACATCCCCAAGATAGCCCAAACCAGAATAAATTATGTCTAAATAGGGGAAATCGCCCTAATGCGTTCTATTGTTATCAGTTATTCAGGTTGCAGAATTCAGGTTGTCCCCCTCCCCGAGCGCAGAATTTGAACTACTGTCATACAGAACTCATTTTACAAAGTGACAAACTAATAAACAGAAAAAACTATTTTGTAACAGTGTTTACACCAGGGGGTGGCAGGGAAGATGTAGATCATACGAGGATAAAAAGAGGAACCTTTCCCACAACCTTACATTAGACGCCCAATCTTTACTATCCCAGATGTAAAATCATATATGCAGAACATCCCAGTGTACGGATTATAGGGTCCAAAAGGTGATTGGCTGCATGGCTGAATGTCTTGCATCCACCCATGCCAATATTTCACACCTGGCTCCAGGAGGTGGAAGCAAACATTTCCATTTTCAACTGTGGGTTTTTGTTATGTCCAAACCAGGAGCTATGGTCAGTTGTTAAAGGTAAAGGTAAAGGTACCCCTGCCCGTACAGGCCAGTCTTGACAGACTCTAGGGTTGTGCGCCCATCTCACTCAAGAGGCCGGGGGCCAGCGCTGTCCGGAGACACTTCCGGGTCACGTGGCCAGCGTGACATTGCTGCTCTGGCGAGCCAGAGCCGCACACGGAAACACCGTTTACCTTCCCGCTAGTAAGCGGTCCCTATTTATCTACTTGCACCCGGAAGTGCTTTCGAACTGCTAGGTTGGCAGGCGCTGGGACCGAACAACGGGAGCGCACCCCGCCGCGGGGATTCAAACTGCCGACCTTTCGATCGGCAAGCCCTAGGCGCTGAGGCTTTTACCCACAGCGCCACCCGCATCCCATGGTCGGTTGTTACCTATGGTTTATTTGAAGAAGCTGGGCTCATAAACAATGGTGCTCAGGAGTGGCAGCATGGTCCCGCAACCATGGGTGCCCAGGGCTGTGGGTGCCATAGGCGCCCATGGATGTCAGTACAGTGGTATCTCTGGTTGCGAACGGGATCCGTTCTGGAGGCCCGTTCACAACATGAAAAGAAACCAACCCACAGTGGCGCATCTGTGCATGCGTGGGTTGCAATTTGCCACTTCTGCGCATGCGTGTGACGTCTTTTTGCACTTCTGAGCATGTGCGAGCGGCGAAACCCGGAAGTAACCCTTTCCGGTACTACCGGGTCACCGTGGGACGTAACCTGAAAGAACGTTACATGAAGCGGATGTAACTTGAGGTATGACTGTAATTCATTCTCCCATTGCTGGGTCATATGATTCCATGTTTACATTCCATACTGCTGTAAGTGTGGGAACGGAACTCAGACTAGAGAACTTCCGTTAGTTGTGCTTTTCGTCTTTGCTTTTCGTTCTCTGCTCTCCGACAGAGAAGACGTGTATGAGAAATGCTGTTCACACCAGCCATGTTTTGTTGTTTTAATTTGCTTTAAATAATAAAATCATGATGCCACATTCCTTCACCGTTTGGCTATTTGCAGAACTCTGCTAAAGCGTGCACACAGCTCCACTGGATGTGTGTCACAGTGTCGTCCGTACAGGGGATGTATGGAAAATGCTATGTGTTTAAATTTTTTCCTGCTTCCCCTTCATAGACGACAGGTTATGGGCCCAGGCTCCTCCGGCATTTCGGCACAGCTACTCACCTTCAGTAGCAAGTAAAGCTCTGCTGGATGAAGTACAATTGCCTCTGGTCTATTTTTTTGGAAACTCTGCTACATGTTTAAGTTTTTTCCTGCTCCCCCTTCATGCACAACAACTCAGCCCCTTCTTGGGGAATTTTGTGGGTGCTTGGGCATCCAGGGCCCCAGGGAGTTGGCACCTATGGCTGGGCTGGACTTAAGTAGCAAGTTCTGCTAGCAGAAGCCTAGGCTTTCCTCTCCATCTCCTCCTCCCTATGCACCCCTCAAAAATGCCTCAGGATAGGGGGTGGAAGAACCCGCAGAACAGCTCACAGGAAGACGAAATGTTGGATGGATGGATGGATGCTTGAACCGACAGATTTTTAGGTTCTGCATTCTTCTTGTCTCACCTTGCTGCTTCAGCTTTCCAAAGCTTCGGACAATCTCGTGAACGACAGCCGCTCCGCTCTGTGGGTCAATCCCACCAAAAACCCAAGAGTCTCGGTGGCCACCTAGGATAACGTACCTGTCTGGATCAACGGAAATGAGGATTAATTTTAAAATGGGCGCAATAAATCATGGCGAGAGTTCTACTTAAGGGCCCCTCTGAAGATAATCTGGAGCTAGAGATGAGAGGTTCTGACCATTTTGGTCTCCCTTTCTCATCCTTCCAATCTTTCGTTACGTTCCCACATCAGTTTGCAATTTGATTTAAAAAGTCCTCATGAAAATTCACCAGCATTTTAGCGTCACTTTCCCCTAATGTACGTTTTTATATGCCGTTTTGTCTGATCTACATTTTTGCAGAGACATTCCCCCTAATAAATTGCATTTTTATAGGCTATGTTAAATGCATTTAAATGCACACTTCACCCCAGTATGTGCCTTTTTTCTGTAGCACATTTTTCTGTAGCTGGAGAAGTGTGCTTCAATTTGGAGACGTGTGAATTCTGAAGGATGGCTGGACTTTGGTTCCATGATGAAAGGAGGAATAGCAGGATAAAAACAAATAAATAGACGTGGTTTTGACTAGACAGCCTTGCATGACTCAAGACCTCGATATCTTTCAGAACATATCTTCAGAACATACCTACCCAGACCCTTCAATCTGAGGTCCCTCTTCCGCCTCTGAGGGAAGTTTAAAGCGAGGGGGCCTTTTCAGTTGTGGCTCCCTGCATGTCTAATGCTGTTCCCAAAAAGGCACCAACCAGGTACCATCATTAATTTCCTTCAGCATCTTCTAGCCAGCATCTGATGGATTATGACAATTATGGTGTCTATGATAGTACTTTTTTGCCACTGAAGTTTTTACTGTTGTTTCGCTGGATTTATTTTATAGGTTACTCTATGGCATTTGTTATTTCCCCCCAGTTTCTCTATGCTCTTAAAGTTACTTTAAGGCTTTTTACATGAATGCCTTGTGGGTTGAGCATTTCGGCTTGAGTGTTCCGGTTCGTAAACCTTTTTTAGAAGCCGAGCGGCTGACACGGCTTCCGATTGAGTGCAGGAAGCTCCTGCAGCCAATCGGAAGCCGTGCCTTGGTTTCTGAATGTTTTCGGAAGTCTAATGGGCTTCCGGAACAGATTCTGTTCGAGAACCAAGGTATAACTATATTAGGAAAAAATAGCATTATTATTAAAACAGGAGTCAGATCATTGGTCCATCTGGTCTGGAGGGCTGGCTAAATTTGAAGGACTTCCTGGATTTCAGGTGAAAGCCTTTCTTATCTCTACACAGGGATGCCAGGGCCATTTATCATACAAACCATGCATTCTACCTCTGAACTACAACCCTTCCGCTGGCTTGATCCCACAGAGAACGTGAGCAAGGGAATGGCTTTACCTGGCTCTGTTGCACCTTGGAGAGTACCAATCACGTTGTAAATTCTTCTTACTTCTTTGATGCTGTGGACATGCATTTTGACTTTGCTAATGCAAGTGCAATATATATAAAAAAATCAAGTGTTAAATGTCAGGTTAAGAAATAAATGCATGCTTTAGACTTTAAAGTCAGAATGGATTAAGGCTGAAATTCTGCATTGTTATAAAAAGGTAAAGGGACCCCTGACCATTAGGTCCAGTCGTGGACGACTCTGGGGTTGCGGCACTCATCTCACTTTATTGGTCAAGAGAGTTGGCGTACAACTTCCGGGTCATGTGGCCAGCATGACCAAGCCGCTTCTGGCGAACCAGAGCAGCGCACGGAAACGCCGTTTACCTTCCCACTGGAGAGGTACCTATTTATCTACTTGCACTTTGACGTGCTTTCGAACTGCTAGGTTGGCAGGAGCAGGGACCGAGCAACAGGAGCTCACCCCGTTGTGGGGATTCGAACCGCCAACCTTCTGATCGGCAAGCCCTAGGCTCTGTGGTTTAGACCACAGCATATTAATAGTATAGTAAATTACAAAATATCATTTTCAGAAGGTAGACGTAGTTTTAACACCAGCCTTCAGCATGAGAGCCACTTTTTTTTTAACCTGTGTGCTCATCTTTCTAGATGGAGTCCAACATGTAAGCATCCATCAGCAAAACAGAAATTGTTGGCAGAATGGATTCCCCTTCCCTCTGCAGTCCCCCCACCCTGCCCCACCCAAAGTGCTCTGAAGGGTTTGAGGCGACCATTTGAAGCAGATCTGAGGGGAAGGGGGTGCTGTGGGCTGCAGAGGGAAGAAAGAAAGAGGAAGTCCCAGCAGTGATGAGGTCATATGCAAAACCAGCAGCAATGAGGTCATATATATTTCCCTAGTGAGGGAATTCCAAAGTTGAGGGGCCACCACCGAGAAGACCCTGTTTATGTATCTGCTACTCTAGCATCTTCTATGGGTCAAAAAGGTAAAGGGTGCCGCTGTGGTCTAAACCACTGAGCCTCTTGGGCTTGCTGATCAGAAGGTCAGTGGTTCGAATCCCCGCAATGGAGTGAGCTCCCGTTGCTCTGTCCCAGCTCCTGCCAACCTAGCAGTTCAAAAGCACGCCAGTGCAAGTAGATAAATAGGTACCACTGTGGTGGGAAGGTAAATGGCGTTTCCGTGTGCTCTGGCTTCCGTCACGGTGTTCCATTGTACCAGAAGCAGTTTAGTCCTGCTGGCCATATGACCCACATGACACTGGCTCCGCCGGCCTGAAAGCGAGATGAGCACCGCAACCCCACAGTCGCCTTTGACTGGACTTAACCATCCAGGGGTCCTTTACCTTTAACTTTCTACCAGTCAACCAGAAAGCAGGAGTACAAACACTGATCTTCTCAGTGGCTGCTCCCAGACTTTGAAACTCCCTCCCTAGAGAAGTTATTGGCTTGCTCCCTCCTTATTGTTCTTCTTCCAGCAAGTGAATATTTTTTTGTTCCAACAGGATTTTGGGAACTGACTGCTTTCCATTAAAGGGCTGCTGCCATGCTGTTTTTTTTATTGTAATTATTGGTATGTTTTGAACAGGTTTTATATACGTACATCATTTTAATTCCATCAATATGTAATTGTATTTTAATGATTGATTTTTTCCATGTTTTTAGTGGTAATTGAGTTTATATGTAAGCTGCCTTGAGTCCCGTCAGGAAAAAGGTGGTGTATAAGTAAATAAATAAAGTTCAGGTAGGCTCATACAAGTAAGGAGGGATCTTTGTTTGGTCCCAAACAAAGAGGATTGACAGACAGCCTTCATTACCCTAACCAACTAAACCTTTCTTATTCAGTGCAGGTTCTGTGGCTCCATTTTCCTATTGACCATTTACTCAACATCACAAGATTATATTCTCCTCCCACCTTTTTGAAGAACTTCCTATGAAGCCTGGCCCAACGTTGTAAGGCACAGAGAGTTTTCCCTTCCAGCTGTCATCTGGTGGGGATGGTCCTCCCATGTCCCTGTTGGAAAAAGATAACATTACAGTTGGCATCCATCTGAGAAAGAAGTAGGAGCAATTGTGTGATCCTCCTTACAAAAATTTCAAAACTGAAGTAACTTCTGGCATGTAGGCTTCCAGAATATTCCCCCCCCCCAAGTCCCTCTTTTGGCACTTCCATTTTGTAACTGCAAAACCCCAAAGGGTAATGATTGGCAAATAAAAATCGGAAGGCGAAAAGACTTCAGGCATAACCAAGCTTTCAAACTTGGTCGTGGGTTGTTTTGTCTTTCAGTTTGGAAGATCGCTTGCCAGCTGAGTTGCCACAGGGTGGAAGACCTTGTTTCCTAGAATGCCTTTGGCTAGAGATGGGTGATCCACTAGGAAGAAGACCCACCTGCTGCAGAAGGATCAAGAGAGAAGAGGAAAACCCAATCTCACCAGCGACCATAAGGAACACAAGAACTTAAGAGGAGACTTCCTGGATCAATACAAATCCCCATCCAGTCCGGAATCATGTTCTCACAGCGACTGACCAAATGTCTATGGGAAGTCTGCAAGCAGGACCTGAATTCACCCTATTTGTGATTTCCAGCCAGGGGTGTATGAAGTGGGGGGCGGAGGGGGTGGTCCGCCCCGGGCACCGCACTGGGGAGGGGTGACAAGATGGTCCGCTGCCTCCCCCCAGCTGTAGAGCAATGGAGGGCATGCATGCAGTCAGTGTGGGCGCCGCTCGTGCCGCGTCCACACAGTGTCCATACAGGCTGCCGCTTGCGTATGGGCTGTCGTGCATGCGTCACCGGGCAGTTTGTCCTGCCCTGGGTGATGGAGAGGGTTCCTCCGCCACTGTTTCCAGCAACTGGTATTCAGAGACCTACTGCTTCCAACAGTGGATGTGAAACACAGTCAGCATGGGAAGTAGCCACAGGAAATTGTCTACAGTGGTACCTCAGGTTAAGAACTTAAATCGTTCCAGGTCTCGGAGGCAGAATCCGAGACCAGGGAGAAGAGTTGGTGGAAGAAGATTGGAAAAAATTTAAAGTTTATTTACAGAAATATTGTAAAATTAATGAATGTTAGAAGGATGCTGGAAAAAAGTTATATGGCTTTAGTAGAAATGTTATCAAGAATTAGGTAAGAATAGATTGATTATGGGTAAAGGTGTAAAATTCAAGGCTAAATTGCGTTAAGATAAATTATGGAACTAAATTTGAGAAAGAGGGAAAGGACTTGCTGAAACAACTAATTGAACTAGAATACAAAAAGGGAGGTGTGAGGAAGTCAAGGAAATAAGCAAATGAAAGATAAGGACACGAAAATACTGGTTCTTTTTTCTTCTTTAAATGTTTTTGCCTTTTAAATGTTTTTGCTTTTTCATTCTTAATGTTTTGATGTACTATTGTTGTTGTTTTTTTACTGTATTTCCCCCCCCCCTTTTTATCTACTTTTAAAGTTTTGTAATCTTTTATTGTATGTTTTTCTTTTTTCTGTATTTGTTAAACCCTAATAAATATCTTTAAAAAAAGAAAGAACTTAAATCGTTCCAGAGGTCTGTTCTTAACCTGAAACAACTGTTCTTAACCTGAAGCACCACTTTAGCTAATGGGGCCTTCCGCTGCCGCCGCGCCACCAGAGCACGATTTCTATTGTCACCCTAGCAAAGTTCCTAACCCGAGGTACTATTTCTGGGTTAGCGGAGTCTGTAACCTGAAGTGTCTGTGACCTGAAGCATCTGTAAACCGAGGTACCACTGTAATCCTCTTACAAAACCATCTAAGTTGGTGGCCATTGGTACTTCTTGGGGGAGTGAAAGGAGGCAGTTTTGGAGGCATGGGATGGTTCTACTGGACACTATTGCTTTTGGTACAGGGACACCATGTGTTATGACCTGAGAAACAAGACCCTAGGAACCTCCAACACAGACTACTACAACGCACTCCTTGTGGATCTGCCCTTGAAGATAGTTCCCAAGCCACAGAATGCTAGTGTAGAACAATGCATCGTTTTTCCCTTATTAGTTTTTGAAGGAAAATCTGGAAAGCAAAAATCTGTAATGCAGAAACGAGCAAGGCAAAAGAAAAAGAAAGAAAAAAACCTGAAATGAAAAAGTAACTTTACGATTCCTGTATATATACAGTTTCCATATAAAGGAGGAGGAGAAAATGAAGAAAATAACATAGGATTACAGCATACCAAAATAAGCTATATGGTTGCACATTATCTGTTCCAGTACAATAATAACCACTGACCATTTTTCCAATGAAACTTTTACTTCCTTTGCCTGCCTTCTCTATATTTAATACTGTCAGTCATTTTCAACATAAATCCTGCTTTCACGGCCTATATCGTGCTCAATGGATCTCTGATTGATAGAGGGTACTTTTTGTCTGCACTTATGGCTGATTGCTTATCTATGTACAGCAGTTGGCCAGCGCAGCAATCATTTCTCCATCTCAATCCAATTCTTCACTTTTAAGATTGCCAAACAAGATAACTATCAGAACAGGAGTTAATCAATATCCTTTCATTTTCTTGACATTGCTTCTTTTTTTTAAAAAAATAAAAAATAAAAATACTAGCACACTTCCTCAAAATAAGCACCAAGTCAGCTCTTACACCTCAATATACCCAATATTTATCTTCAACTTCTGGAAATAGGTTGCTCATTCTTCAAGATAACAATTCAACAAGACCTTTGTAGAAGCTTTTTTCATTATAAAGACGTGGAGTTTTGGAAGGGACCAGCCACCAAACTCATTTCCATGTTTCATCAGAAATCCTCCCTCCAAAATCCCACTTCCATTTATTTTATTAAGGGTTGTGTGTGTGCTTATGATTCTGCCATCATTTTATACATTTCCTTAAGAAAATTCTGCTGGCGCAGAATGAAGCTTCACAGAATAGAGTTGGCCTCACAAAGAACATGTCTCACCAGTCTTAAAATATTTGCACTCCTTCCCTATTAACTCCCAGACTCAAGGTATTTCCCCCTCTCTTTAACGGCCCGGGATCTTCATAACTAAGGGGAAAAACTTCTCTCTTTCACCTCCCTATTTCCCCACACCATCAAATAAGGCCTTGGTCCAAATTTAGTAGTGTTCCAATGTCAGAACTGCTAAGGCACAGAGCAGGGCCTTTACTGCTGTGGTGCCACTCAGATGGCGAGTTCTCCCCAAAAGGGATAAATTGCCCTCCCTGTTTATGCCCTTCTGTGCCATAAGCAACATCAGAACATAAAAAAGAGCCTGCTGGATAAGGTATTTTGCCCATTTAGTCCAATATCCTGTTTCACAGCAACCAACCAAATGTTTGTATATAATATTGTTTAAAAAAATTTCTGTGTTACAATTTAAAGTACTCGTTTTTACATCCTTAAAATATCAATGACTCCCCTTCTTCTCTTTCCATGGTTCATTTTACATATCATAAATCATTACCTATTTTACAGAAACTATACCATTCAGCATTCCATTATTACATCCATCATATCTTGTTTACACTGTTGAACTTATCTTAATGCTGCCAGCATTAAGTTAAACAGCATTAAGTTATACAGTTATTTCCCATATATTCAATAAATGTTTTCCAATCTTCTCTAAACGCATGTTCTTCTTGTTCTCTTATTCTATATGTTAAGTCTGCAAGCTGCGCATATTCTGTCAACTTAAGTTGCCATTCTTCTTTGCTTGGGACCTCGCTCATTTTCCATTTTTGGGCTAACAAAACACGGGCTGCAGTAGTGGCATACATAAATAACCTTTTTTGACGCCTGGGAATTTCAGTCTGAATTATCCCCAAAAGAAAGTACTCTGTTTTTTTGGGAGGGGGGGAGGGGAAGTACTTTTAAACATTCTTTTCAATTCATTGTGGATCATTCCCCAATACAGTCACACCTCGGATTGCATATGCTTCAGGTTGCGTTTTTCCGGATTGCGGACCGCCGAAACCTGGAAGTACCGGAATGGGTTACTTCCGGGTTTTGGTGGTCGCGCATGCGCAGAAGCGCCAAATTGCAACCCGCGCGTGCGCAGTCGCACAGATGCAGGTTGCGGACACTGTGGGTTGTGAACGTGCATCCCGTTTGGATCACGTTCGCAACCCGAGCGTCCACTGTACTCTTTTACCCTTTTACAAGTCTACCACATGTGAAAGAATATTCGCTCAAACTCATTGCATCTCCAGCACTTACCTGATTCAGTCTTATACGTATTAGCAAGCCTACTCGGAGTTAAACACCATCTGTAAATCATTTTCAAGTAGTTCTCCCCCAAAGAGTAACATGCTGTGAACTTCAAATCGCTTTTCCAGAGTTCCCCCCCCAGAGGTTAAAATCTATATCGTGACCTATATCTATTGCCCAGTGTGTCATTGAGGCTTTGACAAGCTCGTCTTTTATTTCCCACTAGCAGCCAACCAAATCTCTGTGGGAAGTCTGCAAGCAAAAATCTTCCTAGTGCAATAATGTGGCTGAGAACCACGTAAAACCACGTTCAGCCAACCTGCTTATATAGAGCTCAACTACAGAGCAACAGTAACAACTTTCTGTAACTATCCAATCACTGAACGTCACTTTCAACTCCTTATTTGCATATGTGGACCTGAGTGAAAACTATCTACAGTATCCCCCTGCTGGCCCAGGGTGAGAACCTCAGTACATAACAGTAGGCATACATTGACAAGATCACTCATGGCTCAGTTGGTAGAGCATGGGACTCTTAACCTAGGGGGTTGTGGGTTCAAGCCCCACATTTGGTGAAAGATTCCTGCATCACAGGGGGTTGAACTAGATGATCTTCAGGTTCCTTCTAACTAGGATTCTACGGCAACATAATGCATCTATGGGACCGCCTCTCCTGGTATGCCTTGCAGAGGACCTTAAGGTCCATGAATAACCATAGTTTAGAGGTCCCGGGCCCTAAGGAAGTCAGACTATCCTCCGCCAGGGCCACGGCTTTTCAGTGATGGCTCCAACCTGGTGGAATGCTCTGTCCCATGAGACTAGGGCCCTTCAGGATTTAACCTCCTTCCGTCGGGCCTCTAAGACAGAGCTATTCCGCCTGGCCTTTTATTTGAATTCAGCCTGATCATTTATTTCCCTTCCCTTCCCTTTTATGAAGATCACCCGCTCTGGGACCCCACAGCTAATTTTCCCCTGGCCTCCTTGCTGGCCCAAGTAGGACCAATTCAGCCAGCTAGCCCTGGGGATTATCTAATGCTTATTTCCCCTAAATTGATTTTTGAATTTTATTGTTATTCATGTTTTTATACTGTATTTTATGCTGCTTTTATAATTAAGTGTTTTAAATTTGTTGTTAGCCGCCCTGAGCCCGGGCTTTTGAACTGGGAAGGGCGGGGTATAAATAAAAAAATATTATTATTATTATTATAACATAATCCAATGCATGTCTAAGTGAGAAAGAAATCCCACTGTGGTCAATGTGGTTTGCTTCCTAACAAGCAGGTTTAGCATAGCTTAAACTGGGGCAGGGGGCAGCGCCTAGGATGGAATTGCAGAAAAGGGGCCAGAAGTTACACAATGGACCACATACTTCAAGAACCCCAGACTTGCCACAGTGAGAATAAAGTTCACGATCCGTTTAGGAAAAGAGGGGAATATGTTCTTTGAAAATATATTTGAGAATTTCATCTCAGAAGCTGCTAGGACAGCTCAGTTGGTAAAGCATGAGACTCTTCATCTTAAAATCATGACTCTTTGGGTTTACAATTCTATGATTCTATGACCTTTTTGTTTGCCGTATTAAGCCCTGGTTTCCTCTCCCACCCCTTGACTTTCTCTCTTTTTGGCTCAAGGTTTCTGCCTTTGTAAGACAAGGAAAAGTGGGGAAAGGCTGAAAAACATGTACCAGCACAGAGTGTTCTCTTAATGTTTTTTTTTTTTTTTTAAAAAAAGAATGATCTCTCTTATAACTAATTGTTCTAACACAAGGACTCTTTAAGTATAGTGCAGATAAGCCTCTTTCCCATCAGCTTCCTTGATGCTTGAAGTGAAATAGCTTTTTTGAAAGCCGTTTCCCTGTTTTCTGTCCATCCTCCTCCCTCCCTCCCTATTAATTTTCCTATAATTTGTCATTATTTGTTGCCCCCATATCCTTAGATGGACTCCTCCAGCGTCAAGGAACAAGTCTCGGCCTGGGAACTGTAACCCCGGCTGGCTTTGTCAGTCACTGTGGGTAGACGCACAAGGTAACCTTTTGCTCAAAACTGGACATTTAGGATTTTAACTGGCATTAGCTTACTGGAGATTGACGTCTTGGAGCCAAGCCATGCTCTGGAATCTCAATGGCTCTGCTCTGAGCCCTTTCAAAAATAAACAAGTCACTTGGGTATATGTGGGTTCTACCTTGTTCAGTGACGAATGCATGGCTTCTCAGTGAATCGAGGGTGCGGTGTTTGTTTAACCGACTAGCCTGACCCTTTTTGTAGCGCTGGGGGAAAATGACAGTCTGTTGAGAAATGGAAAGCTTTGCTAGCCTGCATATTTATGCTTTCACAGCACTGCAGATCTTACTCTTACACAGAAATCAGGCTCTGCAAGCAGACGAACAATCCCGTAATTGGCAAGGGAAGTACAGAAATCACAGTTGATTGAGTCAAGACAAAACACAGCCGTGCATCAGGGCAAATATTACATAGGAAAGGAGTTTGATATGTCGGTAAAGGTAAAGGAACCCTGGACGGTTAAGTCCAGTCAAAGGTGACTATGGTGTTGCGGCGCTCATTTTGCTTTCAGGCCGAGGGAGCCGGCGTTTGTCCACAAACAGCCTTCCAGGTCATGTGGCCAGCATGACTAAACTGCTTCTGGCATTTACCTTCCCACCATAGCAGTACCTATTTATCTACTTGCACTGGTGTGCTTTCAAACTGATAGGTTGGCAGGAGCTGGGACAGAGCAAAGGGAGCTCACTCCATTGCGGGGATTCGAACTGCCAACCTTCCGATCGGCGAGCCCAAGAGGCTCAGTGGTTTATGTATCAGATATGTTTCACCACTGTGGAAGGGCAAGAACTTTGCCTACCTGAAAGCAATATTAGGGCGGTGGGGGGGAGAGACAAACAATTGTAAATAGACTGTACGGTCCTTTGCCATTTTTTATATAGGCTTTGGGAGTAAACACCAGTGGTGTTGTGCATCTGTTGGTGCCCGGGCTGGGTGGGAGCAAGGTGAATGAAACCCTCCATGCTGGCCCACAAAGCTGATTGTGGAATTGACTAAACCTGTAAATGTTAACCACCAGGTATGCTTACCTCAGCAACATCTCAGCATCATGGTAACCGATAGGGTGGACAGGAATGTTCAACTGGGCTGTCGCCTGGGCTTCATCGTAGCGGTAGGTGTACTCTGGGTCAAGGGGGGGGGGGAATATTGAAAATAATAATTACAACATTGCTTGCTTATTAATTAATTAATTAATTAATTAAGTTTCCAACGCAAGTATGCAGAAAGTCACCAGAAAGATGCTTGTGCAACAATGGTAAGTATGGATATATTAAAGGAAAGCATAATTGAATTGAATTTATTATTTCGGTCACAGACCAGTTCCAGCCCACATACAAAATCAGGGAAGTCATGAAACACAATAGGAATACATTTAAATAGGCAGTTTGGTTTAACAGGGACAGTACAGACATAGCAGCAGTTAAAATATATAAATTAGTTCTTACTCACTAAAATATGAGCTGAAATTGTTATTTAACCTTAATCATGATGGTACCAGAGCTTGTTCCCTAAGTTTTATGGCAATCACACAGAATTTGGCCACCTTTAACGTGATCTCTGGATCTTTGTCCTCTACCAGAGATATTAAACATTGGAGTTCAGACCCATTTGAAGATTAAAGATGGTTTACCCTCGAATTTGCCCTGCAATAAGGCAGATGGCAGCACGTTGAATCTAGCGAGGGTGATAGCATAATTTTGGAGGACCGTATTTCTTTTTTTAGGTGCAGGAAAGGATGAAAAAGTCCCACCAAGTTGCATAAAATTGTTCTGCTGGTTCTTTGCCTTCCATCATATGAATCTCGCAATTCCGAGGTTCCATAAATTCTTATGCCACAATGATCAAGAGGCACATCATTTAAGTTCTTCCATTTTTTTGTGTGCAATAGAAAGTCTGGCAGCTACCAGAAACCATTAGCAGTTCCTTTGAAGAGAAATGTTTTGGAGTATCACCCCACGTATTTAATTACAATATTGCTTAATTACGAAGGGCTTCAAACTGCTTGCCAGCCAAGTTAAAAGCAAGAAACCTTGCCTGCAGGTTTGGTACTGTCAATATCATTTGTTTACTGTGCTCCAACTTCATGCGATGCATTCCCAAAATTGGCCTTGGTGCCAGAGACAGGTTTCTAAAAACTGCTGTGCCAAACCCTGTCCCATAATTTCTCAAGCCCCCTTTCCCCCTGTGAAATACATTTGCACCTTTTCTGCCTCTTTCTCGGAGTCCTTTAGAGTTTTGGTGGGTGCAGGCTTGGGCTTATCTTATCAAAGTGATGTGGTCAAGGGGAGCGCATGCGTTTTTGTTCCCACTATAAATATTTCTCCAGCATTCTGCAGTCTAGCCTGTTCCTTGCGCTTCCTGATCTGCAGAAAAAGCCCCATAAGCAAGGATCTCCGCACTGAAGCTGGTGCATGATGGGAAAGGAGAAGGAGGGGCAACTGCTGGTGCATCTGGTGGGCCACCTCTTCCCCATCCTTCTTCTAAAGAGCCCTGGCTTCCTCTAACCCTGAATTCCCTCCGCCCTAATTTTTATTAAATTTTCTGTTTTACAATTTAGAATGCCCATTTAAACATAGTTAAAATATCAACGACTTCTCTTCTTCTCTTTCCATGGTTCATTTTGCAGATCATAAAACCCCTGCATATTTTGCATAAACTAAACCATTCAGCATTCCATTATTACATCTATCAAATCTTATTTACACTGCTGAATTCATCTTAATGCTGCCAACATTTCCAAGTGTACACAATTTCCCTCCGTATATTCAATAAACATTTTCCAATCTTCTCTAAACGTTCATTCTTAAGTAGCCATTCTTCTTTAGTTGGGACCTCACTCGTTTTCCATTTTGGCAGCTAACAAAACACGGGATGCAGTAGTGGCATACATAAATAAACTTTTATGAGGAATGGGGGAAAAAAACATATTCCCAAATTTTCCCGAACAGAGGAAACACTGCCAATCCAGTTTAAATCTGGGATACAGAAGTGTGATTATAATCCGCAATCTCCACTATCCTTTCAAACATATATCACCTTATGGCATTGTCTTGCCGTTTCCCCCAACGTCCAGTTAACCACATTTCAGAATGTATCCCTCTAACGCAATGGGGGAGTGCAAAATAAAGCAGTGCAATTTTCAGTCTCATTCACCTTTGGCGGGATACCCTGGCGTGAGGGGGTCCCCAGCTCCATCCAGAATCAGGACATTCCCACGCTGAGCTCCACCTTTGGGAAGATTCCACCCTGCTGGGTAAGGGTCTACTCCAGGGGCACAAGAGTCAGCTGGGTCGGAGTATAAAATGACCCCTTTGGCTCCAGCAGCAGCAGCATTCTTCACCTGGTGGGGGCGGGAATCACATTGATGCTGCTGTTAGTTTGTTCCTTCCTGCAAAGGTGAGAGGTTGCCTCCATATGGCAAAGCCTGGTAGTTGCCAGAGATGGCCAAGTCTGTATCTGCGGACACAGCCAGACACCATAGCAGCCAATGGGGACACCCCCCCCCCGCCCCATTTTGCGTACAACAATCCCTAATATGCTGCCTTCAAAGTTTGATGGTGTCAGCAATCTCTAGGATGGATGAATCTATCGCTTCCAATTTATCCCAGTTTCCAGTCTTATGTTAGGTCTCCACTGTTCTGGATCAGTTTGTTACTTTTTTAAATAAAAAAGCTCATGAAAATTCATCAACATGTTAGGGCTTTTTTTTGCAAGCAATTTACCCTAAAACAATGCAGTTCATGCTATTTTTAAAATATATTTTCATATGTTTTTATGCACACATCCCCCCGCCCCAATATAACATTTTTGTACACATTATTTGGTTGGAGGACTGCATCACAAAATTCAGATCACCGCGTTTCACTTTTGCACACAGTTTTAGGCAGTTGAAAGCAGGTAGGTTTGCATTGAAATCCTAACCGGATGGGATTTCTATCCCATCCCCACCAGATCCCAGTGCTCAAATAAGATTCCACTGCTGAGCCACTGGCAGTGCCGGATTTATGTATAACCTAAACAAGCTATAGCTTAAGGTTGCACTCTCTTGGGGGCCGCAAAAAAATTGAAAGGAAAAAAACCTGGATGTACATTTCCAAAATATAAGATAAAAAATGAATAAAATAAAACCTACATACAGCAACAGTGTTCTGTGTTGTGTAGACTCCTATGATGTAAGTAATGGGCCCCGCCTGCTAGCCTGCTCCCTAAAATATCACTGGTTTGCTCATTTCTATATACAGTGGTACCTTGCTTCTCAGACTTAATCCATTGTGGAAGTCTGTTCCAAAACCAAAGCGTTCCAAAACCAAGGTGCACTTTCTCATAGAAAGTAATGCAAAACAGATTAATCCGTTCCAGATTAATTTCAGTTCAACAGTTACTTTGATAAAATACATATTTTGTTATGTGCAAATGGCTCTAGATACCTATTAGGTCCATGAATTACCATATAGCACATATTCAACACAAAAACAGCGACAATTTGTTGTTGACAAAGGGCAGCTGTACATATAAAGGGCCCCATTACCTTCAGTAGCTTAGGGCCTCATCAAACCTAAATCCAGCCCTGGCCACTGGTGGAGAGGCAGGTGGAGAGTTGGCTTCTTGCTGTTCACTTCGGGCAACAAAATGTATTGGACCAGCTTTCCAGACCTCCCCAAACTTCTGCCAACCAGGACCAAAGGTGTAAGGGAATCATGAGCTCCAACACTAAAGAAGCAATCTTATGCATGAGATGCTGGTGCAAGTTAGGCTGACGTAAAATTACAGCAGGCCCAAACCCTGTTCAGCAGCAGGTTGCTGCTCTGCCAAAGCCTGGCAGTCAGAAAACAAGCCTTTTAAAATAGTATACTGTGCTGAGTTGCCAGGATACAGCCTCAGCCACTGCCCTCGCTGGTGCGATCCACATAGCTCCACCAGAACGCCTCTTTTTGGGGACTGACACTGGCCTTTGTTCAGCCAGCTTTGGCTTAGCTGTCTGAGCACCGGCTGAGCTGGGATCAGCAAGCTACACCGGCGTGTCATTGGTCGAACTGAGGTTGGAGACTTAATGCTGGCAGAGCCAGGAATCAGCTGCCTGAGCTGGAAATCGGCTGCATCCTAAACTATTTATCGTGGGGAATCAGGACATAGGATTGCCCCCTAGGCCTGGAGTCCCCAATGTGGTACTGGTGGGCACCATAGCATCCTCGCTGCCTCCAAAGGTTCCCTGGCCCTTTCATTTTTTATCTTAAACATTAATGTTTTGGAGGTGTTTTTTGTTTGCTTGTTGTGGGAATGCTTTGTGGGTTCAAGGTTTTGTTGTACAGTGGTACCTTGGTTCCCGAATGGCTCAGTTGCAGAAAATCGGCTCCCAAATGCCGCAAACCCAGAAGTAAGTGTTCCAATTTGCGAACGTTTTTCAGAAGCCAAATGTCTGACATGGCTTCTGCTTGAGTGCAGGAAGTTCCTGCAGCCAATCGGAAGCTGTGCCTTGGTTTTCAAATGGTTTCAGAAGTCGAATGGACTCCCGGAACAGATTAAGTTCAAGAACCAAGGTACCACTGTACTTGTTCTACTGGTTTTGAAGTGTGTGCAGCTGTTTTGCCTGCTATTTTAGAGAGAGGGTTTTTTTGAGAATTGCCTGTTTTCCTTCTGTGAAATGGGTATGTTGGGGGGGCATGATCAAAGTGCCCCCAGGCCCTCCTCTATGCTGAATTACCTCCTTCACAGTTGTTGTGTTAACCTGAAAAAATATCCAAATATCACACATCAGTATTAAGTTACTCTCCGTAAGTTTCTGCCTTCGTAGTTGTTGTTTTAACAATATAAAAGCCGCTCTCACATTTGGGCAAATTCCGTCTGTGTGCCAAAACATCCCCTACACACTGAGATGGGATATAATCATCATTACCTTGTTTCCTCTGAAGATTTTCCCATATCTGACAATGACAATTTTCCCAGAGCAATTAATTCCGAGTTCTCGTTCTAATCTTTGGAAATCTTCTATGCTTCCATAGTTCACATAAACCAGATCTCCCTGGGGTATAAGAACAACAGAATGTAAGAAGAGCCTGCTCGATAGAAGAAGTTTAGTGCTGAATTCTGTATTACTTGCACAGATCAGAAGGTCAGCAGTTCAAATCCCCACGATGGAGTGAGCTCCTGTTGCTCTGTCCCAGCTTCTGCCCACCTAGCAGTTCGAAAGCACACCGGCGCAAGTAGATAAATAGGTACCACTGTGGCAGGAAGGTAAACGGCATTTCTGTGCACTCTGGCACTCAGCACAGTGTCCCATTGTGCCAGAAGCGGTTTAGTCCTGCTGGCCACATGACCCAGAAAGCGGTCTGTGGACAAACACCGGCTTGCTCAGCCTGAAAAGTGAGATGAGCGCCGCAGTCCCATAGTCACATTTGACTGGACTTAACCGTCCAAGGGTCCTTTACTTGCACAGAACACAGATACTAGCACTACACTTGCACTAAGGTATATTCTGCTATATTTCCGGAAGTGGTTTTTGTGGCATCTGAAAGCTCAAATGCAGAGAATAGCAGAAAACAACAAAGGGAAAATAGAAAATGCTTCTGTGTGAATGCAGGCAATATGGTGGCATAGGAGAAGCAGCAGAATACAAACTAGAGCAGAATAAATCTACCAACAATGCGCTATTCTTGTGTCAAGATCAAGGGCTCGGCCACGCCAGTTTGCCTTGCCACTTCCCCTGGGAAAACCTGTGGGTTAGCACTGAACTGGATAAACAGCAATCGGTTTGTGGTGCCCAGAGTCTTTCAGCCAACAGCAGTTTCCCCAATATCAGCTGTATGCCCTTGCAGTTCTGGGGGGCTGCTTCTTCCTAGGGAGCGCCAAAAGAACCCTCATATCTTTTTCAAAAATATCTTTCTCTGATGAGGGACAGATCTACACTCATGGTTTTTAACATTAAGGAAGGGTTAAGGCAGTGTTTTGATAATGTAGATGGACGCATGTCGTCTTACTTTTTATGTTCATAATGCTTTATTACCTTGCCTTTTTATCGCTTAATTTTTAATAGTTTTATACTGCTATATCGGTCCCTATGTCTGATGCTTCTATATATGTCCCTATGTAATGTTTTAGGTAAAGGTAAAGGTACCCCTGCCCGTACGGGCCAGTCGTGTCCGACTCTAGGGTTGTGCGCCCATCTCACTCAAGAGGCCGGGGGCCAGCGCTGTCCGGAGACACTTCTGGGTCACGTGGCCAGCGTGACAAAGCTGCTCTGGCGAGCCGGCACCAGTGCAGCACACGGAAACGCCGTTTACCTTCCCGCTAGAAAGCGGTCCCATGCGATCGGCAAGCCCTAGGCGCTGAGGTTTTACCCACAGCGCCACCCGCGTCCCAATGTAATGTTTTACTGTATGCAAACTCTGACCCCCCTCCAGTGGAATTTGAGGGGTGGTGCCATGTGCAGATAACAAAGGGCACAGAGGGAGGGAGAATTAAAATGTGATACTGGAGGGCAGAGCAGAGCAACCAGAAATCAGCAGCAGGGAAAGAAACAGTGTTTTGGAAAACGGTGTGGCCGGGTATAACTTTCATTTGCCAAAACAAACAAACCAAGGTAGTAAACCTTTTAATCAACAAGTATAGCCCATGATGTTTCAGAACGACGTATCTACTATTAGTCTAATGGGGGAAAATAATGTTAAACAGGTCAGTGTAGATCCAGCCCAGATCCCCAAATTTAGGAACTGGCTTATTTTAGCTCCCACCTAGGCAGGAGAGGTGCGGTAGAAACCTAGTAGCTTGAAATTCCTGCTGGCCATCAAGTTTAGTCACAATCCTCTTGTATAGCAACAAACTTGGGAGATATAAAAACCTAGAGCAGGGATGGGGAACCTCAGTGTCAGGTACACAAGTTCCCCTCTCCCTTCTGGTAGCTCAACGATAAGAATTAATGAGCATTTGGTAGATTTATAGTCCTTTTATTATAGCAGTATGTTGCAAGCACAAACAGCAAGGGTAGAAGAAGTGTTTGGATTTGATATCCTGCTATATCACTACCCGAAGGAGTCTCAAAGCGGCTAACAATCTCCTTTCCCTTCCTCCCCCACAACAAACACGCTGTGAGGTGAGTGAGGCTGAGAGACTTCAGAGAAGTGTGACTAGCCCAAGGTCACCCAGCAGCTGCAGGTAGAGGAGCAGGGAATCAAACCCTGTTCACCAGATTACAAGTCCACTGCTCTTAACCACTACACCATACTGCCTTACTCTGACTCCTCCCCACTTCCACAGCAAGAAGCGTGCCAATGGGAAGTTCCTCCCCCTCTGCATCTCCTTTGTTCTCTGACATGCTTGGACCTCTGAGTTTGGGGGGGAGGGGTTTCCCCCCACTCTTTATTGATGTATTGCCCAGCTGCTACCTCCCTTCTGGTTGCTTAGCTACTATCTCATAGCTGGGTAGCTCCTCTCAACTGAGCAGCTCCTGTGTCTACCTATCTCTCTGCTTCTGGAAACACTGGAAGCAGGGGAGGCAAATACTCCCTCTCCTCTTATGTTAGGAGCTGATCTCCCTGTGCCTGCATTCCCCAATCTTCCGATTCAGACCAGCCCCTGACACTCAGGTTAGGAGGACCACATGTGGCTCCCGAGGTCTCTCTATCTGGCCCCTGAATTTTCCCCAGACCACACCCCTTGCTGCCTTGGATGCACACACCCCTTGAGAATATCTGCGTACTTGGAATATGTCCTTAAGATCTGACTATGCCTCCTGATTGTCTGGGTGGAGGGCAGAGTGTGTGTATGTGTGGAAACTAGCTTACTGCTGCACTAAAGTAAAAAATTTGCATCGGATGCTCCGCCTACTCTTGCCTCTGGCCCCACCCACCTCTGGTACATGGTCCCCAGAAGGTTGCGCACAAGGGAAAGCGACACTGGATCTGAAAAGGGATAACCACTCCTGATCCAGAGAGAGAGGCACATTCACACAACCCGTTACCCCACATCAGTCCTTACCTGTGGCATGCCCTGAGCGGAGAAAGCACTGTAGGGTGGAACAACATCTTCAATGTGTGTATACCCCGGAGGGAGAGGCTCAGATAATGAGGTGTTGAAAATCTGGGCAGTTCAGAGGGAGCAGAGGAGGAGGCAGAATATTAAGATCAGGTTTAGACTAATTTCATATAATTCCCCCCCCCCACATTAATATTTTAATTGCAAAGGTTTTGAATATAAAGAAATAAAGTGATGCATGTGGAAAAAGAAAAGAAAAAATAAAAAGGTTCAAAAACACGTAGAAAGAAGCAGTATACGAATATATACAATATATGGAAAACACCCTAGCCCATACATTCTTATATGAAATTGATATTCTTATCCTAAGACATATGTAAATATTAATAGCCTACTACATTTCGTAGAAGCTCATTCCAAATATTGCCATATTGATTCAAGTCTACATTCAGTCCGTTCATAGGTTGTGAGCGTTATCATGTTGTCAATCCATTTGTTAAATTTCATAGAATTGTGGAGTTGGAAAGAATCCAAAAGGTTTCCCTTCTGGTCCAACCGTCTGCAATGCAGGAATCACAGTTAACGTCCTGCATTGCATTCATGTTAGGGCTGCAGGTGGCATCTATGACCAGGCCCCAAAATCAACTTGGGGAATCACAACTGTAAGCAAACAACCTAGCAGAATGAGAGGAGATGTTGCTAAAAGCTTGAGAAAAGAAAATGTGGTCCCTCCCTCCCTCCACAATGCACATAGAAAGTAGGCACTGGTCACATATATCTGAGGAAAGGTTGGGATTCTGTGACAAAGAAGGCTCTGTCTGGAGTGATGTGTCTGTCTTCCTCATTATTAACATTCAGAAGGAATGGAAAAACAGTTCTATTCACCCAGGCATTTGATGGCTGAAAGAGACTACCCTGGCATCCTTGAAATTATTACCTGTGAGGGTATGTGACTGAAATTAAAAGCTATCAAATATGTTTTCATTTTATTCTATTCACTTTGTTCCACTGCTAGTGTGAACTCCTATTGGGCAAAGGTGGGAAAGCCATTTAAGAAGAGTTTGGATTTGATATCCCGCTTTATCACTACCCGAAGGAGTCTCATGGGATGCGGGTGGCGCTGTGGGTTAAACCACAGAGCCTAGGACTTGCCAATCAGAAGGTTGGCGGTTCGAATCCCCGCAACAGGGTGAGCTCCCGTTGCTCAGTCCCTGCTCCTGCCAACCTAGCAGTTCGAAAGCACGTCAAAGTGCAAGTAGATAAATAGGTACCGCTCCGGCGGGAAGGTAAACGGCGTTTCCGTGCACTGCTCTGGTTTTGCCAGTAGTGGCTTAGTCACGCTGGCCACATGACCCGGAAGCTGTACGCCGGCTCCCTCGGCCAATAAAGTGAGATGAGCACCGCAACCCCAGAGTCGGTCACGACTGCACCTAATGGTCAGGGGCCCCTTTACCTTTAAGGAGTCTCAAAGCGGCCAACAATCTCTGTGAGGTGAGTGAGGCTGAGAGACTTCAGAGAAGTGTGACTGGCCGAAGGTCACCCAGCAGCTGCCTGTGGAGGAGCGGGGAAGCGAACCCGGTTCACCAGATTACGAGTCCACCGCTCTTAACCACTACGCCACACTGGCATTTAAGGAATTGTCACCTCAAAGTGTGGGCAGGTTCACCTGGAGAAAAGATCTCTTCCAGGTATTTTGCTCTTTTCAAAGCTCAGCGGGATTTACCTCTCATAACTGCACTGTTTATCTGTTAAACTGAATGTTCTGAAAGGGACAGGGATGGTTGACTTAAAAAAACGCTAAAGCCAGATGGGGAAATCCATTTTCTCTCCCTCTCCCCTTTACCTCATGCCCTTGGTCATCAACAATTGAGATGTAGTTGGGATTTGTTTCATTTGGGTAGGACAGCAGAACATCATAGTGAGCCAGCTGAACCGAATCCAGGCCAAATTCCTTCCACTGGGCCTGTATTTGTTTGGCCAGGCGCAGGTTCTCTGGTGTGCCTGCCAAGTGAGGCAGCCGAGTGAAATTGCTGGAAAAGAGGAGAAGGGTATAATGAATGAAATCACAATTATTTATTTTTTTCATTGGGCTTGCTGCTGCTGTTGGACGTCGGTCCTCGCTGTGCAAGTTGCACAAATCACAGCCGGGTGACCATCTTGGCCAAAGGCGGGTCACTGACAGGAGCGAGCCAGCAGCAAATCACACCAATCCAGCAAGAGTTAACTCTTTAATAGCAAAACAGGATCTTCACAAGAGTGTCAGGCCTAATGAGAACAAAAACTGAGGTCTTGCTTCGTGGATGTAGCCAGGATTTTGGTTGGGGGGGGGGAAGGACTTTGTTAGGGCGGGGCAAAACTGATGTGACAGGTCAGTTAGTTAAGTATTCAATATATATATATATATATATATATATATATATATATATATATTCTGTTTTGCAATTTAGAATATTCATTTAAACAACCTTAAGATACCAATAACTTCCCATCTTCTCTTTCTATGGTTCACTTTGTATAACATAAATCCCTGCATATTTTACATAAACTAAACCACTCAGTATTCCATTATTACATCCATCAAAACTTATTTACACTGTTGAATTTATCTTAAAGCTGCCAACGTTTCCAAGTGTACACAATCTCCCCCCATATATTCAATAAACATTTCCCAATCTTCTTTAAATGTATGTTCTCCTTGTTCTCTTATTCTATATGTTAGGTCTGCACATCTCCCATCTCTCTCAGCCCTGCAACCGTGCTGGCTGTGGCGGAGGAAAATTTGATTAATCAAATTGTTAATTATTTTTCTCTCGCATGTTTCTCAACTGCTTTGTGGCAAAAAAAAAAAGTTGCCAACTCAGCGTACAAGAAGTTTAAGATAAGATAAAATACACAGGATGCACTTCCAGACTATTACCAGCTCAGCACTAACTCCATCTCCACCTTGTGGGCTCCACCTTGATTGTTTTTAATGTTGCCCGTGGGCCTTTGATGGCATTGGGTTACCTCGTCTTGAGAATGTTCTGAAATGTACCCCAAGTGTGTTGGTTGGTTTGGCCAGTTGGCATGCTTGCTAAAGCCCTAAACGGCCTTGGCCCAGTATACCTGAAGGAGCATCTCCACCCCCATTGTTCCATCCGGACACTGAGGTCCAGCTCTGAGGGCCTTCTGGTGGTTCCCTCACTGCGAGAAGTGAGGTTGGAGGGAACCAGGCAAAGGGCCTTCTCAGTAGTGGCTCCTGCCCTGTGGAACGCCCTCCCTTCCGATGTCAAAGAAACAAACAACTATCTGACTCTTAGAAGACATCTGAAGGCAGCCCTGTTAAGGGAAGCTTTTAATATTTGATGAATTATTGTATTTTAATATTTTGCTGGAAGCCGCCCAGGGTGGCTGGGGAAACCCAGTCAGATGGGTGGGGTATAAATAATAAATTATTATTATATACAAGCTATGCTTTCTGTTTTGGCAAGTGGGTGGCGCTGTGGGTTAAACCACAGAGCCTAGGACTTGCCGATCAGAAGGTCGGCGGTTTGAATCCCCGTGATGGGGTGAGCTCCTGTTGCTCGGTCCCTGCTCCTGCCAACCTAGCAGTTCGAAAGCACATCAAAGTGCAAGTAGATTAGTAGGTACCGCTCCAGCGGGAAGGTAAACGGTGTTTCCGTGCGCTGTTCTGGTTCGCCAGAAGTGGCTTAGTCATGCTGGCCACATCACCCGGAGGCTTTACGCTGGCTCCCTCGGCCAATAAAGCGAGATGAGCGCCGCAACCCCAGAGTCTGCCATGACTGGACCTAATGGTCAGGGGTCCCTTTACCTTTACGCTTTCTGTTTAACTAGGATTTGGTGCACAATGGGCAAGAAGTGAATGAGAACCTCTCTGCATCTCTAAGGATAGATCTACAACTTGGCCAAAAGCAATTCTGGAGATGTAAAGCTCCGGTTGGTAGCAGGTATTCACCAGTTGCTGGAAACCGCAGGAGGGAAAATGCTCTTTTGCTTGGATCCTGAATGCGGGTTTCTCACAGACATCTGGCCTGGCCACTTTGAGAACATGATGCTGGACTTAAATGGGCCATTGACTTTATCCAGCAGGCTTGTCTAAGGTTCTTATGTGCTTAAATAAAAGCTGCGATTGACTAAGCAGTTCAAACCTACATGCTTATTCTTTTGGCCTTTAAGTGGCATTGTATATTGTATTGTTGGTTTATTGCTATGGCCGTTGGCTGACGCAAATAAAGATTCATTCATTCATTCATTCACCCTGCATCCATTTTGCAGGCATCTAAAATGTGTAACACACCCTCATGAACAAGTATGAATAAAAGGAGGGAAATGTTCCTCTTTAACACTGCTTAACAATCACAAAACACACTGAGTTGGCGCTGGGTGGACAAACGTCAACATATTAGCATTTATAACTGGAACACTGACTCATTTGCTAAATAAGTCTGAGCGATAGTTTTCTTTCCTACTTGAAAACGTGCTCTGCGTGCCAGCTTTTTGATTATTAACAATGTCATGGACTAAAATCGCTGTAATTACAAATGTATGCCGCTAAGTTAATCTCAGGAAATGCCACCAACCAAACTGAAAAATATATTTTAGCCTGCAGTCCTGGCACCATCAGAGGTACTTCAGTATAGCTTGTTCATCCTGGCTCACCTGCGGCTCAACCAGCTAAGCTGAATCTGGCTGAGGCAAGGCCAGAACATCTCGCCTGCCCGCTAGGCAAAGAACACTATTTTAAAGGCTTGCTTTCCTTCTGTCAGGCATAGGAAGAGCAACAGCCCTGCTGCCGAACAGGGTTTTCATCTGATGTAAATTTACACCAGCTTCTTGTACATAGGAAAGCTACATGGGTCTGGTTGGCTTAAGCCTTAAGCCCAGTCTACTTTTAATTTTTCCTCTGTTTTTCCTCCCGGAAGTTACCTACCCCTGACTTAAGGCCTCCTAGCTGCAATGCACTTGAAGTATCTAATTTAAGGCAGTCTCTAAAAATGACAAGGGATGCAGGTGGCACTGTGGGTTAAACCACAGAGCCTAGGACTTGCCGATCAGAAGATTGGCGGTTCAGATCCCTGCAACGGGGTGAGCTCCCGTTGCTCGGTCCCTGCTCCTGCCAACCTAGCAGTTCAAAAGAATGCCAGTGCAAGTAGATAAATAGGTACTGCTCTGGCGGGAAGGTAAACGGTGTTTCCGTGCGCTGCTCTGGTTCGCCAGAAGCAGCTTAGTCATGCTGGCCACATGACCCGGAAGCTCCCTGGGCCAATAAAGCAAGATGAACGCCGCAACCCCAAAGTCAGTCACGACTGGACCTAATGGTCAGGGGTCCCTTTACCTAAAAATGGCAGCATATACCAGGAATATTTGCACCATAGAGATGCATGGCTAGAGCAGTTACTCATATCTGCCATCTTGTTTCTGTTATTCAAATACAGGGTTGTTATTTTTCAGTTCAGTGCCACAAGTTCAGGACTGAGCATCAGTCTTTTTCTTTTTTCTAGTATTTGATCAGGGATGATAGCCAGACAAAAGAAATGAGTGTGCACATCGCAGACAATGAACCCCTTATCTTGCCACTTCTAACTCTCAAAAAAGCTATTATATATCACCAGCTTGGGGGGTGAATTTAGGCATTAATCTAATTCTCTTTTGCCTTGTCTTGCCCCCCCCCCTTGGGATGGGAAAAGTAAAGATTCCAAACAAAAAAAATAATCCTGTATAACTAGAATCAGAGATCAGAAATCTACCATTTCTGATAGATCTCTGAGGACTGAGCTTATTGTCATTTGCTAAAACCACCTTGTTCCAAAAGAGTCACAAAAAGTGGTTTCTAGGTCAATTTAAACACACACACACAAATCAACGCAGTGCACTTTGCTTACTATAAAAATTGCTTGATATTTGCAGCTTTCATTTCTGTCATAAATGCCTTCTTCATCTTCTCGTGAGAACCTGTTGCTGGCAATTGACCTTCAGGTTTACTCAGCCAACCTGCAAGATAGACCAGAGAGAGCTACAACAACTGCAAGTGCAATCACAGAATCACAGAATTGTACATTTGCAAGGGACCCCAAGGGTCTTCTAGTCCACCCGTCTGCTTAAAAACATGGAATCCAACATGGCGGTGGCAGTGTCAACTCATTGACTGAAGACCCAAATCCTAGACAGACATGGCTTAAAGGCCATTTGCTTGTTACAGAGTGAGTTTTATCCATACAACCGTTGAGGTTCATAATGGTAACCATGCATTCACCTTCATGGAATATGAAAAAATGCCAGAGGAAATCCATTCATTTCTACTGATTGCTACAATTTCAGAAACTGGGAAGGCTGGGGAGAGAAACATTTCCCCCTCCTAACTTGTTTCTTTGTCCCCTCCCTCTATAGTCCTTATTTTTAAAATAAATAAATAAATTGTAAGCTCCTTTGGGGCGAAGGCATACCATTTTGGTTTGTTCACCTAGGGTTAATGCCCACCAGACATTTGAAGCACAGTTAAAGCACAATTCTTCCCCCCCCAAAAAAAGCCCTAGGCGCTGTAGTTCACCCCTCATGAAGCTACAATTCCCAGCACCCTTAACAAGCCACAATACCCAGGATTTTGGGGGATAAGACATGAGCTTTAATTGTGTGCATGCAGCCTTTGTAAAGGGTTTATTTATGCGCGTTGGTTCTAGTGTAATAAATAGCAAGCGGTACCCTGCAACAAAATGTTGCAGTGTGAAGTGCTTCCATTCAGGAATCCAAAACACAAGGAACCCAGTGAGCACGTCCAGTTCTCATGGGTTTGTTTTTGAGGTGCCCCACAGGGTTTTTTTGTCCCCAAAGCCTGACGATACTAAGTGTATGTCTGTGGTGCCATTAGGCTCCATAAGCAATGAGAGTCTCCCCTTGAAGATGCAAAGGGATGGAGTAGAGAAGTCTGAAATGATTTTAACATGCAGAAATTGAATTTTGTTTTTGTTCTGTTCTGTTAAAAGAAAGCAAATGTGCCTTTAACGGGCAAGAGAACAGACGGACATAAGCAATGCCTTGGCACATCAGATCAAAGATCCACCTGCAGTCCAGTCCACATGCATGTTTACTCGGAAGTAAGTCCCTTCAGTATTCAAGGGGGCTTACTCTGAGCAGGTAAAGTGCAACCACAACCAAACCAACCCCGCCAAACCCACAAGCAAGCCACAAAAACAGCACTCTGTCCTTAGCAACCAGCACTCAAAGGTATTTTGCTGCTGTATGCAGAGGTTCTCTTGAATGATCACAACTTGTCACTGTTGACTTTGCCCTCCGTGAATCTTTCCGTTTTTTAAAAGCCACTGACTTATGCTGCTGAGCGAATACCGCAAATCCACTTTGTCTGTTCTTAGTAGCTGCAAGAGAGGAAGGCGAGAGCTTTCCATGCCTTTTTTAAAACCCTCATCTGTTCAAAACTTTAAAGAAACAAAGCTTCTTGCTTGCAGACTAAAACAACTTTTTTTCCTCTTAAACTTTCTTCTTCCCCTCCTAACAAGTTCCAGGAGGAGAACTCGCTCCCTGGAATGCGAAGGCAATTACGGTATTTCCCTCCCCTAATGAGTGACAGAGCAGCAGCGCATGCAATTCGACCTCCAGCCTCCTCCTCTCCAAGCCCTTTTGCAGATAAAACGAGATTCTTGGCTCAGCCCGCACCATACCAATGAGGAATCCGAGGAGGAACACGCCAACTGCCACCCCCACGGCCAGCACCCAGGAACGGCTCCTGTCGCCCCTTGCGTAGGTAGGCTCCGTGGCAGCATGCAGGGAGCTCCACATCCTTCCTGTTGCAAAAGAAAGTTTTCCCAGGCTCTGGATTCCGCCTGACCTCTTCCAGTTCCCTGCCACATATACACACAGAGAGAGAAAGAGAGAGAGAGAGAGAGAGAGAGAGAGAGAGAGAGAGAGAGAGAGAGAGAGACTCTGTACAAGGGGGCAAAGTCCTCACACTTTTCCTCTGCACACAGATCTCGACTCCTCCTGCAGGCTGCGAGGAGGGCAGGCAGAGAGGAGAAGGATCCTCTGCAAACCAGGCTCCAAGTGCTGTACCGCTGCCAAGGTCTGAGGCCTGGCACTGCCATTCCTTCGCTTTGGAGGAGAGCAAAGCCAGGAACAGGTGTCTTCCCAGGCTGAGGCCACTGCTGTCCCGCCGGGGATGCTCTGGAAGGGCTGGGCTGGTTTGGCAGCATCCATTTTAGCAGCATCCGTTGTCAATTAATGAGAGGCATCCTTCAGGAATAAATGAATCACACAAACAGGCAAAGGTGTTGGCCGTCATAAATACAGGGATGGGGAAACGGTGGCAACCCAGATGTGGGCAGACTCCAATTCTCATCTTTACCAGTCACTATGGCTAAGAGGGACACAGGTGGCACTGTGGGTTCAACCACAGAGCCTAGGACTTGCCGATCAGAAGGTCGGTGGTTCGAATCCCCGTGACGGGGTGAGCTCCCGGTGCTTGGTCCCTGCTCCTCCCCACCTAGCAGTTCGAAAGCACCTCAAAGTGCAAGTAGATAAATAGGTACCACTCTGGCAGGAAGGTAAACGGCGTTTCCGTGCGCTGCTCTGGTTCGCCAGAAGCGGCTTTGTCATGCTGGCCACATGACCCGGAAGCTGTACGCCGGCTCCCTCAGCCAATAAAGCGAGATGAGCGCCGTAACCCCAGAGTTGGCCACGACTGAACCTAATGGTCAGGGGTCCCTTTACCTTCACCTATGGCTAATAGTGAGGGATGTATTCCTTTATGATGGATCATATAGCTGGAAGAATCGCAGCTATAAAAATGAATGTATTGCCAAAGATGTTATTTTTGTTTCAGACCCTACAGATTGTGGACAGAGTGGAATGTTTTGGAAAGTGGCAGAAGGATATTTCTAAGTTTGTCTGGCAGGGCAAAAAGCCCCGAATAAAATTTAAAATACTAACTGATGCGAAAGAAAGAGGGGGGTTTGCCCTGCCAGATTTAAGGTTGTATTATGAAGCTGCGGCTTTCTGCTGGATGAAAGATTGGTTATTACTTGAGAACACTGATGTCCTAGATCTGGAAGGGTTTAATAATGTGTTTGGATGGCATGCATATCTGTGGTACGACAAGGTAAAGGTTCATAAAATGTTTAAAAACCATATTGTCAGGAAAGCAATATTCATGGTCTGGACAAAATATAAAGACTTATTAGAAGGTAAGACCCCGAGGTGGCTATCACCAGCGGAGTCCAAGGTCCGAAAGAGACCCAATATGGAGGCCGGCTGGCCTAAATATTGGGAAATAATAGAAAAAATTGGAGACAACTGGAGGCTGCAGAGCTTTGAAAAACTAAAGAATAAGGTGCAAGATTGGTTCCACTATGCTCAAATTCAAGAGGTTTTTAAGTCGGATAGAAAAATAGGATTCCAGGTGGAAAAATCGAAATTAGAGACAGAACTGTTGGAACCTAAAACTAAGGTACTTTCGAGAATGTATAACTTGTTGCTTAAATGGAACACTCAGGATGAGACAGTGAAATCAGCCATGATAAAATGGGCTCAGGATATTGGGTACAACATTATGTTTGAAGACTGGGAAAGGTTATGGACCACTGGAATAAAATTCACGGCATGTAGTGCCCTGAAAGAAAACATTATGAAAATGATATATAGGTGGTACATGACCCCAGTCAAACTTGCTAAGATATATCATCTGTCTGATAACAAATGTTGGAAATGTAAGGAGGCTGAAGGGACATTCTTTCACCTCTGGTGGACCTGTCCAAAAGTGAAGGCCTTCTGGGAAATGATATATAATGAGTTAAAAAAGGTATTTAGGTATACCTTTCCCAAGAAACCAGAGGCCTTCCTACTGGGCATTGTCGGCCAGAAGGTGTTAAAGAAGGATAGAACATTTTTTATGTATGCAACCACAGCAGCAAGAATACTTATTGCAAAACACTGGAAGACACAAGATCTAACTACACTGGAAGAGTGGCAGATGCAACTGATGGACTACATGGAACTGGCTGAAATGACTGGCAGAATCCGAGACTTGGGAGAAGAGGCGATGGAGGAGGACTGGAAAAAATTTAAGGACTATTTACAAAAATACTATAAGTTGTACGAATGTTAAAAACTGCACGATTTGGAAGTTTTAGCTTCAGCGATTATATCTTTGAAACAGAAAATTAAGTCAAAAGTAAGAAAAGGATGAGATTTAAAGTATTACTAAAGGTGATTAAAGGTACAAGTAACGGACAAAGAGTATTTTAAATTTAAAACATTTGAAAGGTATAAATTAAGATTTGAAAAAAGGTAATAATTTGCTGATATTTTTATGGTAAAGAATGCATGGTATGGGAGATGTGAGGAAGTCCGATTGGTTATGTAAAAATATCTCTGAAAGTGGAATTTTCTTTTTTCTTTTTCTTTATTTGTTTATCTTATGCTTTCTATGTGAACTTTATACTTTTGTTTGTGTATTTGAAAATGTAATAAAAAATATTTAAAAAAAAACAACAAAAAACAAAGAGGACATAGACAGGAAGGGAGTCTGCCTTTCTATGTGTGGATAAATGATAAGATATATACAATATAAATATGACAGAGAGTCTTTTAAGTTACTCTTTTTCTATTACTTTTGCTCTTTTTCTTTTCTATACAATTGTGTTTTGTATTTTCCCTAGGGAGTTGTTGTTTAGTTGTTTCCGACTCTTCGTGGCCCCATGGACCAGAGCACGCCAGGCACTCCTGTCTTCCACTGCCTCCTGCAGTTTGGTCAAACTCATGCTGCTAGCTTCGAGAACACTATCCAACCATCTCGTCCTCTGTCGTCCCCTTCTCCTTGTGCCCTCCATCTTTCCCAACATCAGGGTCTTTTCCATGGAGTCTTCTCTTCTCATGAGGTGGCCAAAGTATTGGAGCCTCAGCTTCAGGATCTGTCCCTAGGGAGAGCATTGCACAAATGGGAAGCCACTGCAGAAAAGGCCCCGTTCTTGTGTTGCCACCCTTTGGACCGCTCATGGAGGAGACACACAGAGAAGGGCCTCAGAAAATGATCTCAGAGTCCGGATCGGTTTACGTGGGGAGAGGCAGCCCTTGAGGCACTGTGGTCCTGAGCCATTTAGAATCCTATTTTGGCATTATGTGGTATAAAGTAATTATAATAATAGGTGTTTTGCAGAGCCCATTTTCCAAGTCAGAAATAAATAAATAGGCAGCGCTGTGTACTGATTTGTGTCAGACTAAGACCTGAGAGACAGGATTCAAATCCCCACTTGGCCACGAGGCTCGCTTGGTGATATTGGGTCGCAATCACTGCCTCTCACCCTGGCCTACCTCACAGGGTTGTTGTGGGGTTGGCGGAGGGGGGAGAACCACATGCATGACGACCACTTACAGTTCCTTGCAGAAAAAGGTGGATTATAAACGCAATGTTTAAAGACCAAATACTATAAAGTGTCTTGCATTCTGCCTTCCTGTGGCTCCCATTAACCTTGCATGTTCAAGGAGGCTGCAGGCCTGTATGAGCCTTTCTTGAGTGAAAGAGAAAACCATAGTTCTGTTGGTAGAACATGGTGGGTGGTGGGTTCAAGCCGCACATTCGGCAAAAGATTCCTGCATTGAAGCAGGTTGGGCTAGATGACTCTTGTGGTCCCTTCCAACCTTAAAAGGGTAGGTAAAGGGACCCCTGACCATTAGGTCCAGTCTTGGCCGACTCTATGGTTGCGGCGCTCATCTCGCTTTATTGGCCAAGGGAGCCGGCATACAGCTTCCGGGCCATGTGGCCAGCATGACTAAGCTGCTTCTGATGAACCAGAGCAGCACACGGAAACGCCGTTTACCTTCCCGCCAGAGTGGTACCTATTTATCTACTTGCACTTTGACGTGCTTTCGAACTGCTAGGTTGGCAGGAGCAGGGACCGAACAACGGGAGCTCACCCCGTCGTGGGGATTCGAACCGCCTACCTTCTGATCGGCAAGTCCTAGGCTCTGTGGTTTAACCCACAGCGCCACCCGCGTCCCTTCCCCTTCCAACCTTACAATTACACAATTCTATGATCCCTTATTTAATTCTAGGAAGCAAGCAAGCAAAGGAAGCAGCTTTCACTTTCCACTAATATTTCAAATTTACCACTAGATGGCAGGAAGACACCACGAACAATCACTGCCATCATTCCCCGCTTTCTAGGCTTTTAAATAAGAAATTATCAGTTACAGAAAACTGCTTCCTTCCCTGCGCAAGCTTGTAACACAGTGATCTATGGGGCAGCCCACCTTTCCCACCTCCCCTCCCTCTGTGGTACATTTGTTAGCTGCCTTCCTTTCCTCCCAAACTTAGAACCAATATGGTTATAGCTGTGTTGGATGTTTTGCCTGCTAACATCTGTAGGAGCGCAGTGCTTTTTTTTTTTCTAAAACAAAGTTTAGGGGTACTCTCATTTTCCTACTCATACTGAAATACTGCCCCTCAATGAGGCCAAATTTAGATTCACAAAATGCTTAGGGGTATGCGTACCCCTGTGTGTCCCCCCCCCCGAAAAAAGCACTGTAGGAGTGTA